AATTAATTTATTATATACTTGATAAAAATGAAATGTGGAAGTGGCAATAAATATCTACTTCTTCAATATTTCGAGTAACTGTGATAACGATATTTGTTTATTTTATATTATCTATAAGCTACTCTTAGTTATTATCTTTTGAATCTTTTAAAACGGATAGAAAACATGTTTTTTTTTATTTTACTCTATAAGCTGATGATCTTTAGTGATAAAAGAATCTTTTCTTTTTTGGGTCATTCGAAAAAAAAGAAGTAGGAGAAGGGAAATGAATGACCCTGATGATTTACATGTAAACGAATAAATCCTTTTTATCAACATTTCCTTCATAGTGAATAGAGCGTGATACCTTCGATGTTTGTCATATCTAAAAGAAGAATGTATAGATGATTCGTTATACTGCTGGTCACTCTCTTAATGTACGTGTGCAAATTGAGCAAATATAAAGGTAGTCATCGTCTCTAATCCCGCCCTGACGTGTGTATATATATCTAGTTATGTTAGAGAAAAAAAAAAAGGGATGGCCTGCATGTGTTGTTGTATTTCCGTTTTCTATATTTTAATGCAAATTGAGGAAGAAGCTTTGAATACCTTGAATAATCACGTATATTAATTTTCTATTGGATTATCATCAAACTAAGTGAAACTATGACAATCGAGAGAAGAAGAAAAAGGTGTGATAGAAGAAAATAATAATAAATCTTAGCACATCGTTAGATATGGTAACTCTCTCACCTGTATAAGATATTTTCATTCTTATTCTTATTTTTTTCGTTGCTTGATCGATCGATCAATTTCACATCAAGTTCATCTTGTATTCTAACTGACATCGAAACAAATCATATGTTCAAAAAGTGAACCTGTCTGATATTGTTGTTGTTGTTGTTGTAGTATATACATACGATATAAATTCTTCATTTCTTTTTCTTCTCTCTCATCATCATTGTCGTCGTCGTCTTCTCTTCTCTATGATTCTCATTTTCAAAAAGTAAATTTAAGTTAAGAGAACGAGAGAGTATATGTATGTATAAATGTTAAAAGGTTTGTGAGTCATGTATATATAGAAAGAAAGTTAAGACAAGCATGTCAATATGTTTGTTGATAATGAAAAACAATTTTAATACTAATTTACTAATCAAGAATATAAACTACTTACTTTTTTCTCTTAACTTATTTCACAATATGTTAGCAAAGGAAGAAGTAGAAGAAGAAGAAGAAGAAGAAGAAATTATGTACGGTTGCCAAAGGTAAATATGCGAACAAAAGTAACTCGAGAACCGAAGGATAGACATGCAAGCTTATAAGACGAAGAAGAACAAGAAGAAAAAAAGAACGAATCTTTCATTGAGATATTCATGCCATTAAATGAAGTTGAACGACTGACTTCATTAGTAGATTTGAATAAGTATTTTTTTCTAAGGATTCATTGTACGTGACACGACTTGTAATCAATTGGCAATATTAAATAAAATGAAAGTGAGTGAAATCTCTTTAGATTCATTTGATGAATATATAGCTCTTAAATAAGCAAATTGATATATACATGTGACAATTCTCTCTTGTTTTTCTTTTTTATTCTTAAAAATGATATGTCAAGACATAAGAATAATATTCTATTTGATCAAAAGAACTATATTTTCTTTTGCCATTTCACACAGGTGTCTTTAAGTCAATGTGTTGATGATGATGATGAGTCGTTTTTCTTGTTTCTAAGTGAGAACAAACATTCTTTTTGGATAAAAAATATATATGATTCAATTCTTTAGATTTCAAATCACTTTTGATCATCAAATGAATAACAAACATTAATCCATTTCCTTTTTCACTACAAACTGTGAAAATACAAAAGCGGATGTTCAATAGAAAAAGAAAGCGGGGATTTACTAAAATTATAATTTGTTAAGACATTTTTTCTCTCTCTCTCAATGCTTTTATCACATTTGATCACTTGACGACGACAATCAGCTCTTGTGTTCGAATAAGTGTATGTGTATATTCTACTTAGTTTAGTGTTGACTCTCAAAGCTTAACATAAATTCTTTTTCGTTTTCTTCTTCTTCTTCTTTTTTTATTCATTCAATACATAGCTTTGTCAAATATACTTGAAGAAGTGTGTGCGTGTAGAAACAAGGTCAAATATGAATTGAGCAGCCGAAGCTTCATTCAAACAAAAGATCAAGCAATCTCGTTTTCTTTTTTGATTAACATTGTTCCGCCTATGAAAATGAAGGATTAACTTTTAGAATTTGTATTATTATTATTATTATTAACTTGTTTCTCCTGTTTTTCTTTTTGTTTCTTACTTAAAATAAAAATTACCAGATGGTTTTTTTTTCTCTCGTCGAAGTTTATTCATTAAAAATGAGCAAAGAATAAACTATGGTCACACCTCATCATCATACATCAATTTCGGATCGTGACGAGAGAATAAGAGACCAAACGGAGACGTTTGCTTAGAGCAAACATACGAATAATGTCTATGGTTAGTTCCGTTGTCGCATTCGATTGATGATCGATCAATTGTGTTCGTTAACATAGAAAATAGATGGAAGAAGATGATTAAAATTTACATTCGATTTCCTTCTACTGACATCACAAGTAAATACGAAAAAAAAAACTAAAGCAAATTCATTCGATTTCCGTTTAGACTTACTTTAACATCCATTTATGCATCGTTTCTCTTCTAACAAAAAAAAAATTATATTCAAAAGTTCGTTGTAATCGGATCATAGACCTTCAGAAAAAAAAAAGTAATCGATACCTAAATGAAGGTTTCTTGGCGTCAGTCAATATTTGCTTTTCCCGTTCTGTAGCTATGTATGTATATATATATTTCAATATGCACCTTAATCAGATATCGATATGAACAACAAGGAACAAGACAAGAAAAAAAAGTGAGATGAATATACAATGCCATCTGTTCATTATTCAATAATCTATGAGAAGAGGAAAGGAAAAAAAGAAAAAATCTTGATAGACATTATTAGTTTTTACTTTTGTATACATAGGTCTCATTTTGAATAAAAGTATGTTTGAGAACAAACATTGTTAAGATATTATATACATGTTCTGTCAATCATTATCATATATATATGTTTAAATCTAATTGAAAATTATTTGATAGACTAGAGATAATCATATTGATTGAAAATATATAACGAGAAAGAAATAAAAATATTTACAAAAAATTTTGTTTTGATTAAGTCAAAAAGGAAATTGATTCGTTCGAATTCATCACCGGTTGATTTCTAAATACAATCAGATTTGTTTTGTCATAGCAAAAAAATGTCAAATATAACTAGATCGGATATTATTCAAGGTTTATTTACCTGTGACAAAATGAGTATAATGTATTTTTAACAGTCAAGTTAAGTATGCTCCATATTTGGAGTTTACGGACATCTAAGTTTTCGCGAAAACTGTAATCATCAGTTTTTGATTGCTCTAATAGATACTCTGAACTGTACTGAGTCGACTGGTGATGCTCAAGAAGAAAAACGACATAGCTACAAGCCACAATTTGTCGAAAAACTTGAAACTCATAAACTGCAAATTTGGAGTTCACGTAACTTAACCATTTTTAACAAACTTTATATGTGAAGTATCGATGTAAACTTCTGTTTCTCACAATAACGTAACTTCACGTGGAATACAATATCTAAATCAAGTTTGGTAAATATTTTATGAAAAAATATTGACAACAATGACTGATTGTAAACTTTTACTCAAATAAATTATTTTACTATTATTCAAGCACTTGTAATTCAATTCAACTTTAGATGTTTATCGAGTGGTTATGATTTTAAGATAACTGAATGAAATCTTTTTTTCTAAATAATCATTAGATCACAATTGAAATGGCCTAAAAACCTTCATGAAATTGCTGAGAAGAATAACCTAAGAAGTAATTGACTTTTATATTTTATTAGTTTATCTTCATCATTTGATATTTATATGAGAAATAATTAGATCTCAAGAGATATAACATATATCTCTATTTTATTGATAATAACAAAACAGCAAATTAAACAATTTCAGTTTCCTAAAAATACAAAAAATAAATAAAAATAATTTTCAATAAATATAAAATTACCATATCTTGATATTCTAATAATTGTCTTCGTATTGCTGAATTATCAGTCCATGAAATAAAATCTTCTGTATTTCTAAATTTCAAAGAAAGTATAATATTAAAGAATTTCAACGAAATAGAATAAGAATATTTACCTTGTAACAAGAAATGCTGGATCACTAACAATATCAGGTCCAATACGAATATGTCCTTGTTCTACAAATTTCGCTGCTGCTGGTAAATGTTGTGCCATATGATTACGTGTCATTATACAAGGTAAACGACGTCGGCAAAATCGACTGGCAGTTATTTTATCAACTAATTCAAGATTTTCTTTTGTTGGTATTAAACCAATTGTATGTCTTTGAAAAAAAATAAAAAAATAAACGAAATATTTTCTTTTAAAAAAAATTTTCTTACAATTTTTCTAATAATGTACGTGTTGCTTCAATACGAAATGGATCATTCGCATCTAATTCTTTTATTTTACGTGCTAATTCACGTATTTTTCGTGATAAATCATTATATTTCGTATAATCTTCACGTTTTTGTATATGAAATTTACGCATAACAGTTACTTCATGTAGATTTTTATCAACTTCCCAATTGATAAAATCAACTTTTTTCAATAATTTACGCTCATGAAAACGTAATTTTCGAACCATGATTAGATTTTTCTTTTTGTTGATCTAAAATTAGAAAAATTCTTATAATTTTTTTCGATATGGAGAAATCAATCAGAACAAATTGTTGACATTTTTTCTTATTTTATTTATTTTAATATTATTTGTGCATTAGTTGCACATTTTTAATTTCACTGTTAGACAAAATGTAAAGCAAAAAAAAGAGAAACCGGATGATTTTACATAATGTATACATTAAAAAATAAAAAGAGCGGAAATAATAAAGTTATTATTTTTTTCTTCTTCTTTTATTTTATTAAATTAGCCACATCGGGATCATCTTTCCATTGAATTAACTCCTGACGTATTTCATTATTAATTCCATTTTGATCCAAATATTGACAAATTGTTCGAAGACGTTCTAATTCTTGTTGCAATTGTACGATGGCTTTTTCACGATCCGTAACAAGTTCTTCTAAATATTCATATCGAAGTTTTTTTTCTGTGACGACATTGCCGGGCACTTTCACGACTTTTTTCTAATCGTGTATTTGAATCACTTTTAATTGGTTTGCGACCTCGTTTACCCATTTTGGTTTTTATATATACATATAAATCTACAAGAAGAAAAAAAAATCAATGTATTTCTCGACTGTTTATAATCATGAAATTGGAAACTAAAAGACAATATCAATATAAAATAAAATAAAATCATAAAATACGGAACAACATTCATTTGGATTTTTGTTTTTCTATTGCACACACATATTCGTTTACACAAAAAAATAATTTAATTGACTTATGTTCGAATTTGAAATCGACCATTTTTAACTGTTGTTATATATTTAACGCCTTTGAATGGTTTATATTTTTCTCCATGCATATCAACACGTTGTACACGTATGCCTGATATTGCTATTTGATTTAATGTAAAACGAACATTTAATACTGGATTTGATTCTGGTAATGGTTGACCAGTTGTTAAAACAATATTTCCACGTAATGATGGTAAACGTGCAGCAGCTTGTGTATTACTTTCGATTTTACCAATGTCCCAAACAAGATGTTTTTTAACTGGATCAAATGTACATTTGCCTTGTGTTGGAGTTAATGTACAATTAAGTACACTTTTTGGCATTGAACATTCAATGACAACAGCTTCAAGCTAGAAATTATAGGAAAATAATTCAAATAAGATTTTATTCAATATAGAATACAAACAGTTTTGCCCATTGTTTGTTTTGGCCCAACAGTTAGTTCAAATCGACCACTACTACCTTCACGAAATTGAATATTATGTTTAACATAAAGTGGAATAGATATTGCACTAAAAAGAAATTTAATATAAAATATTATTTTTCGAAAAATATTATTATTATTATATATACATTTTATCTATAAGAAAAAGCAAGGATTAATAAACGTACTCTTCTAATGTTAGTTAAAATAATAAGCAATAAGAAATATAATATTTTATTTACAGTATTAGAACTAGAATTTTTTATGATTAGTCATCTTCTTTCATTGTGAATAACTCACTATGTTGATAGAGAGATTCAGTAGAATCTGGTAAATTAGATTTGAACTAAAAGTAAATATCAAGTATAGTTTGAGTTTTTTATAAGAGTATTATTTAACTAAAAAAGAAAGTATTCTAAGTATAATACAAATTCACTAGCTGACTTTTCGTTGGTCCATCTTTAGTTACATTATCATTTATCTATTAAAAATGAATATGATATAGAAGATTCTCAGCTCAAGAAACATGATGCTCTTCTTAAAATCTCTTTGTTTCTACGTCTATTCAAAGCATTTTTGTTTTCAGGGAAAATTTTACATATTTCTATCGGGAAAGTAGCCAAACGTCGAAAATCAAATATCGATAATGTAAAACGTCGACATCATGAAATACAAAGAAAAGAAGGGGGGTGGGTGTGGGTGTGGGTGTGGGTGTGAGTGTAGGTGTGGAGTGGGTGCGGGTATAAAACAGAAGGATACCCACACCCGCACTCTATACGTCGATATTTTATTTTCAACATTTGGCTACGAAATGTTTCTATCATGCAATAACAATTAACTTACTCATTTGAACATCTGTTTATATAGAGTAAAATATTATATTTAATATAAAATAAATATTCATAACTTACTTTTGTGAACCAATATGATAGGAAATTAGACGAAAATTTCCATCGGGTGGAATAAATGAAAGAACACGTTCGCCCTTAAAACAAATAAAAATAAAATAATTTTCTACACATATTAATAAATCTTACCTCCCATTTTTTTAATCGTACACATGGATGAAAACTAACATCATCGAGTAATCGTGGATTAACAAATGATAATGTTAGATCAGGCATTCCACTTAATTTAATACAGCAATCAATCTAAATACAAAATATTATTCAATTTTTTTGTTTTTTGATAATCAATAAAAGCGAATAAATCAACGTAAAAATAAACAATCATATTTTTCTCGAAAATAATCTTAGCTAATTATTTAGCATTGTGCAAATATATATGTATTCGTACCACACCGCTGGCTTCACTAGCGATAATAACTCCTCGTTGATCCAGAATAGCATCAAGTGATTCAGTAACATCTACTAAAATTTCATTTGGTCGATGAATTATTCCAGGTTTACGCCATATTACTCCTGTTTCCATTCCATAACCTATTTTTTGTGCATCTTCACGCGACATGGAAACACTAAGTTTCAATAAGAAACAATAAATATATTTATATATACATAGGTGTCAATTTATTATTATTATTATTATTAAAATATATATATATATAAACTAGATACTTTATCCTTATCGCATAACAACAATAACCATATTTATTTACACTTACATATCCCTGAATTTCATTCATAACTGTAACTCCATTACGATCAATAATAGCATCTATTTCTTCAATTAAATCAAAATAAGCTTCATTATTTGTATATCTAACTCCCATACGACGCCATGGAATATTTGATAATTGACTAGTTGGAAGTGTATTACTAATGCTAGAAGAATAAATTTAAGTTTTGGTTTGTTTCTTTCTCTCTTATTTCATTCTTTATTATTATGATTATCATTAATTCTAAAAATGAAAAGAAAATAAATTATGAAATATTTAACGTACTTTGTATTATCTCCAGTAACAATATTTGCCATTTTACGGAATATATTTGGTGGTTTTATAAGTTCTTTTAATATATTAGTTTCTGTTGCTAATGGTAAACCAGAATCAAGCATTTCATCCAATAACTAAAATTATAAAAATGAAATTATATGAAGAGAAAAACATGAGAATCAATATTTTACTTCGTAAACAATAACATAATTATCTTTTAATGATGTTTCTGTACATTCACTAAAATAATCTTCGAAAACATCCATTATACGATGAAGAAATTCAAGAACAAATAATGGTGGAACTAAAAATTTTATTCGATAAAGTTTTTTAATGAAAATTTTGTTTTCAAAATTACTTACGTTCATGAGTAAGTACAGCAACAAAATAAAGACTATTACGATAGATGTTAATTAAATAATGATGTGGGGTAGCAATGACTGGTGGAACATCTTCGGGATTAGCGCACTAAAGTAAGAAAATATTTCATTTTGAAATTTATCATAAAAAATATAACTAACTTTTGATTGTGCTTCGAAAAAATAATCACATATTGATTTACCAATTACTGTTTTCCAATGTTTTTCCATAAAAACATCACTACAAAATAAAAAGATAATTAACATAAATATTCTTATGTCTACTGATGAGTTCTTAATAATTACCTGGCTCCATTAATAATAAATAGACTATGAATCATTCTCACACAAGTATTTTTAATCTGCAAATCGAACAAGAAAAAAAACATGGTTTATATTTTCGAGAAAGGATATATTAATAACATAAGCTAATGCATAGAAGCATCACTGATCTTAATCTTTTTTCTTTTTTTTTTTCATTATCTACCAACTAAATGAAAGAGACAGGAAAAAAAATATACAAAGACGAATATCAACACACAAATATGAAAAAAAAAAGAGCAATCCAAACAACGTACGTATATCTGATACAGGCACAAAAAAAAGGAATAAAGAGGAAAAATATCTGACGAGGTAAGTAATTTTTTTCTCATTCGATGCGAATGAACAAGAGTAAATATATGAAAATAGAAGATAACAAAATAATCATCATATTTATTTATTTTCTTATAGCGATGTGTTCTTTAATTAATCAAATGCCATTGCTGAGCGTGAATCAACATTATTCACAATTGTATCCATTGAATCAGCTACATCAATATCAATAACTGGACCAAATTTAAGTTCAATATCTTGATTATTATTTGAATTAACTGCAAGTGATTCTTCGAAATCATATAAATCAGGTAAGAAATTTTCATCAATATCTTCCAAGCTCATGGATGCTGATGATGGAGTGGAATAACCATCACTACGTTGTGATGATGATGATAAAGAAATTGAATCATCATCATTATTACCACCATTTTCTTTTAATCTAAATAAAACAATACGATTATTTTATATTTATCGTTAAAATAAAAGATTTAGTTTTCTCTCAAAGCTCTATTCAAATCAAAAATTAGATGATAAAGTAGATCATACATAAATAGTTGTAATAAAAAAAACCCTTTCGTTTCTCTATAGTATTGAATAGATTACCTTTGATATCTATATTATGTTTTCTCCAAACATCGATTCATTTATCCAAGATTTAATTCTCAGAAGTCCAGTGAAGATATAATCACCACTCTATTATCCAGATTTTAAGGACGCACAAAATCCTAATTCTTCCATAGAGTCTACCATGAACCAGAATGACAAAAACTCTTCTATCACTCTTTTCCTAATCCATTTCCAATCTTACGTCATGTCAACAGACAGTTGAATTTGTCTTTTATCATTTTAAAATATTGAAGACTACCAGTATCTATTTAAGCAGATCATATTATTAATTAAACTTAGCAAAATACAAGCTTTGAAGAACATTTTATAGACAATGGAACTAAGAATAATATTTACCTTATAGTCAATACTCGTATTTAGTATCAGCCTAGATTTATCTTAGTCTCTATTATTACTTAGTAATAGATATAAATAGATTTTCAATTGTCAAAAATTCAGTAAGACGTTTCTAATTCACTTTGAATAACATACTTATCTGAACCAAATTCATGAAGTTTTCGACGCCATGCTTTAATTGCTCCATCAAAACCACGTCGAGACATTTTAGCATATTTGCATGGTGTACGTGGATGTTGTCGTGCCCGACATTTTCTTGAAAAAGATTTATTCAATAATTAAATAAAATATCTTCGAACAAAACTTTACCGAGGAATCGCTGATATGTATGCTTCATATGCTTTAGATAATTTACCTTTACTAATATCTTTTTGTCGTCGTAAAAGTTCTAGATAAAGAAAAGATAAAAATTTTATAAAATAAATATATTATATGAAAAAAAAACCTTTCGGACAACATTCAATTGAACCAAGAATTTCTTCTGTTGTTTTATTTTCATGTACAGAAAATTGTTTTAAATACAATACAAAACTAAATTAAAAATAAAATATATTATTGTAAAATATTAGTTTGTAATTACCTATGTAATTTTTTTTCTTCTGCTTCTTCATTATCCATTTTATCACACCAATCTTTCGATAAAGATTTTTGTAATTCTTGTTGTTCTTCTTCAAAACTAAAAAAATAATTTTAATAGTATAAAATAGAATTTTTATTATTTTACCTAGGTTTGGGTGTTTTGGGTCTTTCATCATTTTTTATATTTGATTTATTCGTACGATTATTTGGTGTCGATGGTTTATTTGGAGTTCTATTATAATTAAGAAGCAAAAATGAATTATCAAAAAAATTTCTTTTAATTTTACCGTTGATTTTCATCATGAAATGGTTCATTTGCATTTTCATCAAAACAAGCAGGAGCTTGATATGGATGATATTTGTTACGTCGTTGTAAACTAAACGAAAATAATTTTCTCAAAATTAATATATATCAATAATCTTTCTTATACTTTTCATTTGTTTCATTATTACAATTACGTTTTGATCGAAAACGTGCTGGACTTGGTGTATCACCATCACTCGATTCATAAGCACGAGTTGTTTTTGGTGTATGACGTATACGGCTAAAAATAATTCAATTATTCATATATATATATATATTAATACGAATGAAAAAAATTCGTTAATATACTTTGGAGTATTGGATGCTGACATATTGAAGATAATATTGAAGAATGTAAATGTTCTAAGAATAAATAGTAGCCGTCCGATTAGACAAAGAATTCTTTTTTTTTAATTCCTAGTTTTAATTGAATAGATTTCTAAACCAATAGGAAGATGATTTTCTGTGGCGCTACAAGCAATGATATTTACCGAATAGATAGTTACACATATGTGATTGACCCTGTATGCTTATGTTGAATGTATGTATATGTTTATTTCTATCTAAAGCGAAGAAAAAAAGATATCAAATGTTTTTGTTATTTCTATCAGCTTGTGTTAATTGGATTAATCGAGGTCGAAAGAAAACTCATCAAATCTGGTAAGTATCTCTCTATGAATTGCTGTGTTTCATGTTTACTTTTTTCCATTGACATTCTTTACCCTCCAACTGTCATTTTTAATGATTGTACAGTTTTTTTTATATATCAATGCATGTAGATACTTTTTTTTATATATATGATTTGATAGTAGAATAAAAAACATCGATTTGATATTTTGTTTTGTTTTGTTTTTGTGTTATTATAGTATAAGATAGATAATATATAATTGAAGTGAATCGATTGTTGACAAGTCATATAGTATTATTCGCATGATACTAGTCTTGCGTTGCTTTTCTTGTCTATTCATGTGTTTTATCTATCTTGTCAACAACAATAATACAGTACCGCAAGTCGTTTTTTACTTACAAATATATATACATATACATGTACGTACTATGAATGAGGCAGTCTCAAGAGAGAGAGATTATGCATTCTCACATCACAATTAACAATATATATATATATACATAAGAGACAACGAACTTGTTCAAATAGTTACCGAGGTGTCTCGTCGTCTTTATCTGTTTATTTTCATTTTCTTTTTTTTCTTCTTCTTCTCGTTATTCTCACCTTTATTTTCATTATAATTGTATGATTTCGTAATCGTAATGACAATAGTGATAAATACATTCTTTCATATTCATTTCTTTTCTCTCATTATTTCGATGTTTATTATATCGAGGGAAACAAACCATATAATTCAACATTATTTTTTACTAAACCTAGTATTTAAAATTGTTCATTTACTTGTGTTAAGTATATATTATAAGATTTATTTCGAAATATTTTAAAACATTCATTTATAACTGACTTATATATTTTTTTTATTCATTCATAAAGCGTCATACTTACCTGCGACAGTAAACTAACCAGAGTGTTTTGTCAAGGTTATCCTTTTTTATATGAACATTCGACTAAAGAAAGGAGAAAAAAATTTGATCCATTGTACATTGTATCAAGGCAAATAAAAAAGAGAAAAAAAAAGAATGACAGTGAATAAGCACTCAATCGTACTGACTTTTGTACATATATGTATATATATGTATATATATATAGAACCTAAGCACTTATCACATCAAATCTTTTTTGAGTGACATCATTCGTTCGACCACAAACTATATGTGTGTGTGTGTGTGTATATATGTTTTTTTTCTTTTCTTTATTGTTGAAGAGTATCGAAAAAAAAAAATCTTCATTCTTTCTATATCGATGTAGATAAAAAACAGCATTGTATAAAAGTAAATTGACAGTGCCAGTTTCTTTTTTTCTCTCTCTCTTTTTTCTCTTCGATACATATATACAGAAGAAACTAGATGTCAATACACAATATTTATTGCAGATCGAATGCCGTCGATATTTCTACCAATATGCAAGAAAATAATAGTAGCATTAGTAAGTGTTATTAATTCGATTATTTATTCTTTGATTATTGATTTCTATTTTATGATTAGATGGTGGCGAGATTGTAATTGCTAAATTCAACTATAATTCACAAGAAAGTCATGAATTAACGATTGTCAAAAATGAACGTCTTGTATTACTTGATGATACATGCCTGTGGTGGAAAGTAAAACGTGTTGATTCGGATGATACAGGGTAAATATCTTGAAGAATAAAAATAATTTTTCCATTACTAATTTAACTAATCGATTCCTAATCGTAAAATGATCGTTTTTAATCAATATGTATGTCTATATCTAATACAAATCCCTCGTTGTTTCTTTCTTTTTAATTTCATTTCCTTAATGACGATATTACTCTATAAAAATGATTACATGATGATTATCTTTTTTCATATGGGATATAATAAAAGAAGAAGAAGAATGAATGAATGATTATCCTTGATCATATAATAGTTATTGAAAGAGTTCATCTTTCAGTCGTTTTGAAAGAATACACATCTGTCTCATCTTTCATATAAATATACATATATAGACATTTATATTATTATGCAAATCTTGAGTATATATCCTATAAGAATATTTTAATAGTGCATATAATAGACGAAGATATGGTATATATTTAGATACATTCCATCAAATTTTGCTCGACGTGAAAAACGTTCTTTACTTGATAAGATTATATCAAAACGTATTGGAAAAAAACAAATTCTAACCAATGTATATAATAATGAACGTATTATTTCTTCAGCACTTGTAAAATTTCGTTATGATGCTGAAAGGTAAGAAAAATTAAAACTTTATTTCATATACATTTCTTTTTTTTTCTAGTGAAGATGAAATTAGTCTAAATAAAGGTATATGGGTAAATGTATTGCAAAAAAAAAGCTGATGGTTGGTGGCTAGTACAATATGAAAAACAACGTGGATGGTTTCCATCAAATTACCTTATGGAAGTAAATAAAATCATTGAAATTCTAAAATTCATTTTTATTAAAATTAATATTTTTTTTAGAGAACATCCGATAGTTTCAATTCACTTTCTTTATTAAATCAATTAAACAATCAACATAATTCTCCTTCATCCTTATCCTTTAATGGTCTTTCATCATCAAGTAGTGGTAATTCAAATGTTATTGAAAATCAAAATCAACAACAAATTCGTCATAATTCTCATCCATTACATATAACAAAATCGAATGATGATTATGCATTTGTTATAAAACCATCTAAACTTGCTCATTCAGATGGAAGACTTGATACATGTAATAATAATAATAATACTAATACGAATAATTTAAATGATGAACAAAAAATGAATTCATGCTCAGCATTAATACAACAAAAAAGTTCTCCATCATCATCGACAATGATTAATGAAAAATTTCAAACATTAACTTTAAATAATTCTCCATATATGAATGAAATTTGGTATTATGGTTTAATAAGTCGTGATGAAGCAGAAAAATATTTGAAATTATATGGAAATGAACAAGGAGATTTTCTTATACGAGACAGTGAACGACGAGTATATATTTTCTATTTACAAAAAACGAAATGTTTTTTTTTTTCTCTCATTTTTATAGATTGGAAATTATTCATTGAGTATTCGTGATGATGCTGATATTATTCGTCATTTTCGTATAGAATTATCTACTGATGGTAATCGATATATAATTGGTAAACGTTCGTTTAAATCATTATATGAACTTATTGAACATTATAAAACTCATCCGGTATATGATGCTGATCAAAATAATAAACTTTATTTAAATAAACCATTAATTATAACTGATGTTGATCATCAATTATAATTAATCATCTGTTTTGTTTTGTATGTATATACACACACACACACTTGTTGTACGATTTCAAAACGAGAAAAGGTTAAAGAACATTCTTCTTCTTCTTCTTTTTTTTTAATACGAAATTCTTAAATTTATATGTCAAATTGTGTTTTTTTTTTCTGTGCTTGATAAAAAATGAAGTGCACGTTGCTTAATTGAGGAAAAAAAAGAGAAATCATCGATTGAATAATAATAAATTGCATACTATGCATATGAATCAATTATCTATTGAACTGTAATAAATGAATGTATAATTCTAAAGAATGGAATTATAATATGCCTTGCTGAGCCATTCAATTAATATCGAATATTTAATGCATAAAAAATTGTATTGAACATGTTCATATAGCATGTATTTGATTAATCTATTTCACTGTGATTTAATTTTTTTTTATGAAGTACGAATAATGGTGAAGGTTGTATTTTTTTTTATTATTTTGGTTTGCTAACCTATTTATGATATTATCGCATGAAGAAAACTAATTTCAGCTTATTTTTGTTTAAAAATTTTCATCTACTTACTAATATGTTAAGTACTGTTAAATTTTTATGACATCTATCGATTATAATTATAATAAAAAGTTAATATATATTTACTTTGATTACTTATCAAAATATTGATGGCAATCGAAAATAAATATATAAATAACAGGAAAAAAGAAAGAAAACTTGTAAAATAATATTAATTAGAATTTTTTTATATACATAGTTATTTACATTATATTCACAATCAAATTTAATGACAATTTCGGTCAATTAATAAAACCAATGTGTCTCGGATCCTATCTCTTAATCTTACAATTAGGCCACACGAAATGATAAAAGATTATATCTTATTTAAATGAGCACATCATAATATAAAACTAATTTTTAGATGATAAAAAATATCCAAAAAATCAATTTTGATGAATATATTTTTTTAATATTAAATAAGGCAAACAATTCTTCATAAGGTTTATGTATATATTTTTTCTTTTTATACTGAATCCGTATGTCCGCCATGTAGACAGCAAATAAATAACAACAAAAAAAAAGAGAAAGAGTTGAAAAATGAGATAAAATAAACGAACAAATAAAAAATAAATAAAAAGAACAAAGACTAAAGAAAAAAAAAAGAAACAATAAATAATATAAATAGACTATAGACAAACGGATAATAAAACAGATCAAGAAAAAGACTTTTAAAGATACATGAAAAAAAAAACAAACAAGAAGCAAGTACGATCATTTGTATACATATATGAAGCGAAAAAAAAAACACATCATCATCTGACTTGTCATAGACATAAACGTCATTGGATGGTGATTAGATATTAAGCATATTTCTTGCTTTTCCAAAAAAAAAAGAGAAAAAAACAACTGACAGAGACATCAAAAAAAATTTCCTACTTGTTGTTCTGCTGTTTTTGACATTTTAAGGTCAAAAAAATCACAAAAGACAAAAAAAAAATGTACATAGACAAAAAAATGGACGGCGGTACGGGTAGTAAAAAAAAGAAAAAGAAAAATATGTTTCAATAGCAGCAAGGAATAGTACGGACCGGTATACAGATTCTCTCAATAACAAAATGAGATTGTTTCTTTTTTGATAAGCAGATCATTTTAACTGAGAAAAATGCCTAGATTTGTGTGCAGTATATTTTCAAGATATTTCAGTCGATGATAATTTTGTTTGTAACTGAAGTGATTTATGTATTGATCTTTGATGTTGTATACGAGTTTTACGAATACCATTTGGACTTGGACCTTAATATATAACCGATAAATAATCTTTCTCCCAATTCAATTTTTTTTGTTGTTTCCTTACCAATATAACTGAGTAAAACAGGTAAGAATATTAGACCATGTGCAGCACCGAATGAAACGATGCAAATAAACATTCGAAAATAAAATATATGAAAAAGTTGGGAATGTGAAAAACCAAGTACAACGATACCACCAATTTTAGTTAGAGTTATACCACTAAAAACCTAAACAGAAATTTTCATTTTTAATTCATATGTATAGATGAAAAGTTTTTGTTGTACGTACTGAACTACCCATATAAGCAAGTGCTTGTTCTGCACGTTTTAAACGCGATCCTTTTGCCGATAAAATAAAATCACGACATATATGAGCACAAAATTCAAGTGATATACCAACTGACATAACAAGATTAACAAGAGAGATAGCATTCATTTCAATATTCCATATATACATCATGGCTATCATATCACAAGTTATCCTAATTAAGATAAAAATCAAAAATGTATTTTCTTAACTAAAAGAATTTTTTCTTACATAGCAATAGTTAATGTTATAATAAATGCAGAAATAATATCAAAACCAAGTAAAATAAATGTCACAACAAAGATAGCTGCTGCAGATATTGTTAAATTCATAAAAACATCATGCCAAATTGTTAAATATTGTTCGTAGAATACATAAAATATACTAAAAATAAGAAAAAAACGTTTTTAACAAAACAATTCATATTATTCTCTTACCTATATGGAAAAACTTCAACATTATGACCAGCTAATTTTAATGTACGTGTTATATTATCTGTTAAGATATAGGCTTGTTGCATAGCTTCAATAAAATCATTTGAACTGATTAAAAGACTATGATAACCCATGATAAGACTTGTTTCGACATTTTTACTTTTTGGATATAATGCTACACTACTACCATGTGCAGCATGGCCACCTTTTGCACATTTTAAATTTGGATTATCTTTTAGGAAAAAATGGTAAAAATTTTCGAAATTCATGTTCAGTTAAACTTTCACGTGTTGTACTACGTGTACAAGCATAACATTTGGAATTTGGAGGTGAATTTGTTGAACAAAAAGCTCCTGTACTATTAAACAAACGACAACATGGTGTTGAACCACGATGACGTAACCAATCATAATAATCATCAAGCCATGTTGTACCTATTTGTGATATACGTGTTTCAGCTGGACGAAGTGATGCAATACCTAATTGATTTGCCATTGATTGTGATGAACAACCCGCACTAGCACATATCATATTACTTGCACTTATATTACCATAATTAATACCTAAAAAAAAACAAATATATATATTTATTTTCTTAAAAAATGTCTTTATCTACCTTGTTTAATAACAAAATAGACGGGTGGTCCTACAGCAAAATATTCTTTTAATGCTGAAAAATAATCAATCATATAAGAATCCTTTGGCATAGTAATATTTTGTTCTAAACCAACTTTAACATATGGTAATAAAGCAACACTAGCTGCAAGCCAAGTAAAAAATATAAATATAACAGTTGGTCGTACATGACGATTCATTATAAATGGTGCATAATAACGTTTAAATAAACCAAATAAAAATCCATCCATTTCCATTAAATGTTCTTCACATGGTTCCATAGTAGATGTTTGATGAATAATAGTTGTAGGTTTTGTATCAGATTGTGTTGCTGTTAATGGTGTTTGAACTGTATTTGGAATTTCATTATCATTATCAGTGGATGATTTTCGACGAAACAAAGTAATTCGTGGAAAATATCCATTTTTCTGTTGTTCATTTTGATCACGTGAAATTTGTAGACAAGAAAAGACATCAATACGATTTTCAATTGTTCGTTTATGATCAAGTGTTATAAATGTAACAAATACAGTTATTTGTAGAAGAAAATCAATTAAAACAGACATTGCTGCATATAAACTGAATAGACGAACGGCAGGCATTGGTGTTAATGCACCAAGAAAAAATGCAATACTTTCAGATACAGATGTTAATAACATAGCTGGGCCTACACGACCTACAATACGACTAATTTGAGTTTCAACATCTTCACCGGGTTGACGTCGATCACGTTGAATTGATTGAGTTAAGATAAATATATTATCTATTTTTGTAAAAAAATAAAACATATTAGATTGGTAAATAAGAGATCCCAGGTCGGATAATCCAATGGGTAAGATCTTACAAGAATCAGATGGAAAATCATCGTCTCAGATATCCTACACTAAGCCGGATTAAAAGGTTCTCGCAAGATTCTATTTCCTCGTAAGAGATCACAATAAGTTTGTTGTGTAAATAAAGTGCATGTCAGATTTCGTCTGGTTGATAAGATTTTTGTAACCTGAAGAAATTTCTTTAGAAAATTTCTCAAACAATATTTATTACTTTACTTCAATTACATTAGTTAATTCAGTCTGTTGAGAAGTACTTACTACGAGCGATAGATTAAGTAGTTCGCGAAAAAAAAAAGTTATATGTCACTGTTTAGAATACCTGAAGAAATTTTCGGAGCTAAAAGATTGTCCTTCAAAATAGCATAATAAATCTCACATATGTGAAAAAACGTTACGATATCGTTTTTGAAGGTTAACTTCTTGCTATAAAAAAAACCTTCAAGTGTAATAAGAAAAACTATTCACGTTTTCGGAACTATGCTACAATTCTGACATATTAATCTCAAATAGTCTATTATAAAATCTTTTTAACTTACCAACACCAACAGCTAATACAAGAAATGGTACAACTTCAAATATAATTAATGTTGTTGGAATTCTCATATAAGAAAAAATGCCAACACTTGCCCAAACACTAAATGAAACAAGTGCAACACCAGCAACACCTAATGATATTTTCATATCAACAAGAACATGTCGAAAATTTCTTATTCGACCTAATGCAATTGCTATATATAAAAACATAATAAGATAAGATATCACAACTGTTTTAATATCTGATTTTGATTCTCGTTCAATTTCATCTTCAATCGATCTTTCAGCACGATAACTAACATCAAACCATTTTGAACTATATGTTTGCATATATTGTAAAAAATATTTTTCCCATAAAAGGGCATTTTCAAGTTGTTCATTTTTTTGTTCTAAACTTTTACGTTGATTATTTATTGTTATTGTTATAACAAGTGCTTGTGCTTTAGCATAATCTGGTACGCTATCATGCGTTGGAAAAGCACCAAGTACCATATAAGGATCAATTGGACCACCAAATTTACCCATACATGTACGTTGAAATGATTTGGTTTGTTGTGTCAATGGTGCTTGCATACATTCAAGATATTGTGATGCATATAATTTTTCATTTAAAAGAAATGTTAAATTATTTTGATGATATTGAAATAATGAAAATATCGCACAATTTGTATTATCAGGATCAAGTGGTTTATAACATGTACTGTTTAAATAAATTGGTGTACCAGATTCTGTTGTTACATTAAAATTTTCGATGAATAATTGTAAACGTAATGCATCAACAAGAAAATTCTTTTCAAATGCAGGTCCAAATGTATGTTTTTCTTCAGCATCTAATGAATTTTTATATTTAAGAGTAATAGCGGTTTTATTTTTTGGTACAAGAATTAAATGTGCAATACGATAGAAAGGTCTAGAAAATAAATTTTCATTTCAGAGATAAAAATAAATCGCTTTTTTTTCTTACCCAAATTTTTCATCAAAATAAGCTTTTTCTTGTCGTGCACGAGAATTTGGTGATACCCAAAGATCAACTGGATCTGTTGTTACTGTATACTGACGACTACCAAAACATAGAACAAACAAAATCACTGCTATAGGTATAATTGTATACATTGGATTATAAGCACAAAATCGACCGATTCTAATAAGACAAAAAGTGAAGATTTGTATTTTTTTTGTCTTTGATTGAAATACATACGCAGTAAATATCCGATGTAATTGATCATCAATTTTCAATCCAGCGCGAGCTAAAATTCCATCATCTTCATCACTAAATGATGTTTCCGAATCAGCTTCATCTTCATTATTATGAGCACCATTTGTATTCATTTTTTCACCTTCTGCTCCAAGGGTTTTTTCATTTTGTCGTTCTAAAAAAATCAAAATATTTACTTCGAATTCTTACTATGAAAATTTTCCCTTACTCTTAACAAATTCTTTCTTTTTGTTATTTGTAAAATTCCATAGCGATAACAAAATATTCGAAAAAATAAATGTTAATACAAATATTATATAGATTCCAATTGCAACAATTGTTATACGATGAAGACTAAATAATCTGATTTTAACTTTTTCTATTAATGTATGATTTCCTGTAAGAACATTTTGAACTTTAGCTTGAGCAATCTTTGGACACATAGCATTGCAATCCATGCAAGTACATTTCTGTCTTGATATATGTGGTAATATAACTGGTTGATCACATGCGAACATTGTTGCATTTGATGGACGAAATGTTCGTTTTAATTCGGAATCATAATGAGTCGTATTAACAAAAACAAAATCAATTTTTATCGGTGATTGATCATTTTTTAAACCAATATATTGAAAAAGTCTTTTAACATCACATGCACGATTTAATGATCCACATAGAATATCAACAGCATATTGAAAATTTATTCGAACACTCCTTAATAATAATATTTATTTAGAAGAAGAAGGAAAAAATATAAGAGAGAATTTTACCAGCATGATGCAATAAAATCATTTGCTTGTTCTTCGGACATAAAATAGCGGATTTTTGAAATAACTTGAACCATTTCAGCAGGTTTTGTAACAACTTTTTTATCTTCATCTTCTTCATCTGGATCATTATAATCAGCTAAAGCCCAATCTTCTCGTATGTTTTCATCATTATCATCTTTCGATATAACAGCTTGTTCATTCGGTCTTGTTATATTCAAAAAATTCAGTGGCCATATAAATTCATCTTGATTTGGATTACAAGACATTTCACAAAAAAATACGTAAAAAATTAAAGTAACATGATGGACAACGACCAATTAAATTATCAATAATATATTTAAATTTTTGCATTTCCGCTAATTGTTTACGATCACAACATAATTTTGGTGATTCACCTATAGGGGAAATGAATTCATTAGAAAACAAAATTGTCATTAAAAACTAAATTAACCTTCACGTGTTGGAATATGTGGGCACATTTCATTTAATAGTCCAATATCTTCTAAGGGTAATGGTTTTGGTTCACCATTGAGATAAGCTTGATTAAAACCATTATTTATACCTTCATACCAAATACATTTCGATGAAGTATAATTTAACTGCAAAAAAAAAAAGAAAATATTTATAAAATAGTAGGAAGTATTAACTTACATAAATTACAATCAAGGTAAGAGTAAATAATTTAGGTAACATTGTGTTCTAAAATAAAAATTTCGTTATTATGGTATCGAAAATAAATAAGAAATATGTCTTCGATTTTTTTCTTCTTCTTCTTTTACCTGAATGTTGTATTACGTCGTTGTCGTCGAAACGATGTAAATTGAAAAGAATTGTTTGTGCCTTGTGTTTTTTCTTTTTTGTATTTATTTGATCAATTGCAATATGAAATCATCATAGTAAAAATCGAAGAAAAAATGTGGTTTTGTTGTAAAAATAGATAATATATCAATTAAATTCAAAGAAAAAAAGAAACGAGTATATCTTTATGACGTTTGATGTCAATTTGTCAAAATGATAGATGAATAAGGTTTGACATTAACTGATCGTATATGTATAGAATATTTCAGTTGACGAACAACAATGTTTTGCATTATTTATTTATTTATTTATTATGGCTATGGTCTCATCATCAGCTGTGCCAACTACTATTCATTCTTTTCTTTCTTTGCCTTGTATGAATAAAAAGCGCGCACAACCAATCAATAGAGAGATCAACATCGAACCATATATTTCTCTTTCTCTTGAACTAGATGTTCGTCGTCGAATATTTGTCCTCTCTTTCTTTCCTTTATTTCTCGCCCGCGCCACCTCGTATAACACCTTGTCTATACATCTTTATGATGACGCATTGCTAGAGAACTACAACATTGGCAAACGTTTTTTTTTCTTCTTTTCCTTCGTCTACGTTGTCATGTCAAAATAGAAATTGTGCCAACTCATTTATTAATTGACTTATTACTATATTCTAAATTGCCTTGAGAAGAAAAAACAGAAAATATTGCACTAAATAACACTCCTAAAATAGTACATTCACCACGTATGATATTTAAAAAACGTTCAAATTAATTGAATAAAAGTAATTATATGCAAAAATAAATTTCGAAATGGTTGTTATTATTCATCTGTTTCTCTTTTTTCTTGATCAAACGACAAATAATTTTAAAATCGTTCGATTGAAAAACAAAATATCTATTTAATTTATTTGTCATTATGATTAACAGCAAATATTGGATGTACGACCATTAGTAATAAAATCAACTATTTATAAGAAATAACAATCTGATGTTAATGTTTATTTGTATGCTTTTATTTATTTGCTCATCATCATGATAGATATATATAAATGAGTGTTTTTTTTTTGAAGGATAAAATAATTAGAACAACAACAAGACAAAAAAAAAATATATGATGAGACGTATAATTTCTTTTTTCTTCTATTTTATTCTTCATTTGTTACCAGCATGACGTGGAGTCAAACCTTCACTGATAGTTCGTGTTAACTAAAATAAAAATAGAGAATATTTTAGAAAACTTTTATAGTGTTCATTTAAATATTAGCATTATAGAAATAATCTCATCTGTCATTTCTTTTATATTAACATGTCAATCAATATTGACAAATAATTTCTATGAATATTTTTTCTTGAGAACATACTTCTTGATATTTAAGAATTTGTTTAACAAGATAATCACTATAACGTCGAGTTATTTTTGTATCAGCAATATAGATAATATCCTAAAATAAAATTTCTTTATGTAAATAATCAAACAAATATTTTTAATTTTCTTACTTTGTCAACGTAGAAATCGATATCAGCTGATGATTGAAAATCTTCTTCAGTTTTTTCTGCGGCATCATTACCACTTAATTTATGCTAGAACAAACACATAAGCTCTTATAATCGACAAAAAATATCTCAACTAACTTTGAATGTTAATAATAATGGTTTTACTTCTTGTGGTGTCTAAAAATAGAAGAATAAATAAAAGTCTTAAATTGAATATTTTAATTACTTTTTCCATAAATGATGCTAATTTTTCGATATTCATTGTTGTATATAATTTTAAATAACTAATAGAAAAAAAAATGAATGTTTTTTTTTATATTGAATTGTATAAAATATTACCTTCGAACATCAGGAATGTATGCTTGTTCTTGAAGTTCTTCGGTAAATACTTCGATTTGTCTATTGAACGGTTCCTAGATTAGAGAAAAATATAGTCTCGAATTTCTTTATTAATTTCTAATCTTACAGCCCATTGTGAATCATTACGTTGTTCGAATATTGTCGGTGCAGGACTAATAAATTTCGGGCAAGCTAAGATATAAATAAAATATTAATTATACATAATTAACAAATAACTATATTATTATTAGAACAAGAAAATAGCAAGCGGGAACTTCCGTCAGTAAGATATTCTTGCGCATGACTGACTACAGAAGATATAATAATAACATAGTCTTTCAGAACAATATCAAGCTGCTTGTCTTAAATTATCATAGAGTGAAAATATATGACATATTTAAGGAAAAATACATTAGAAAAAATCTTTTCCTTAGGTTATATATTTAAAGTATTATTTGCCTGTAGGCATGTATAAAGAAAATCTGCTAAACGTAACTACAACATTCTTATCCATGAAAATAATTGCACTCTATTATACTATAATTGATTTAATAGTGTTGTGGATACAGTATTCACTACTGTTATCATAAAAGAAACTTTCCCCTTATCAACAAACTGTATTTTTGTTTGTATAATAAATAAACACTTGAGACTATAGTTGAATACATATGCAAAATAGAAACTATTATTTCGTATGTTATTTTTAATTTTTAATAAAAAAAATATTTTTTGTTCTTTTTTCACGGTGTGAACTTTTTTTTAATTACATATTTTAGATATCTCGAAGCAACTTGTTCCGTTTTAAAAACTAAGTGAAGCTGCAAAAAGTTGACAAAGTTCATTTTACTATTATTTATATAAAAGCACTTATATAAATACAATATTTTGTTTTGTCAAAATTTCTTTCTATATAAAACATAAAGATTCAAAAGATGCACTACGATAGCATAAACGTTTTTCTATGAAAAGATTATATTTTATAACTTAAAATTTAGCATAAGATTTAATAAGAAAAACTAATTGAAAATTAAAAGAAAAAAACAAATTTTATTTACCATATGCAAAGCTATCTCGAAATGGTAATTTTCCATCGGGACTATAGAGAAAAGAAACATCAAATTAATTTTAAATTATATATGAACATAATAAGACCTTACCCAACCCAAAGTAATGGTTTAGGTAATTTATCAAGAAATTTTTCTTTAAGATGTAAATAGATTGTTTCATCAATTCGCATTGGATTTAATGTTAAACAAATAGCTAATAATGTCATCATTTGATCAGCTGTTTTATTAACCTATTGAATAAAATGATTCCAATATATATATATATAGAATTCATTTAAACCTTACTGCATCATTTTGAAATGTTTGAGCAACCATAATTGGTTTACTACGTTGAATATAAAGTAATGTATCAACAAATACTCGAATAGCATCGTCATAATTTCTCATCATTGAATAACAAAAACCTGCATGATAATTTGTTGCTACAATACAATGAAATACTTGACAAACATCATTCTAAATTCAGAAGCAAATAACATCGATCTTCTTTTTATTCCTAATCATAAAATATTTACTTGTTTTGTAACATCTAAATCAATACATTCAATTGTTTTTAATGCCATATAATAATCACTTGTTAATGTATGTAATTTTAATAAACCAATTAAACTAAAATATCCAAACATTTTATAAAGATTTGTTTGACAAAATAAATCACCACCAGCATTAAATGATACTATTTACAAAAAAAAGGGATTTATTTCAATTTTTTTTTATATTAAGATAATTTTACCTCCTTTTTTTTGCGGCTTCTAATTGTTCAACAATTCGTGATTTATCAACAAGACTATGCATAACATTAAGTACAGCATGAACATTCCAGATTTTAATATTTCGTTTTAAATGTTCAATATCATCATCCGTTCGTTTAGCTAATTTTGTACGAAAATTGCAAAATGATTGAAATTGATAGATAAATTCTTCGATGATATCCCATAACCATTGATCTGGTAATTCAATTTTTAATGGTTGATCTTTTGCTAAAACTAAATTAAACAGATCAATATAATTCATATAGGATTCTTGTCGTTCTTCTAACGAAACACCACCCTAATAAAATAAAATTTGACAAAAATTACAAAAGAAGTTTTGCTAATCTTACGGGTTTTGATGCATAGATATGTCGAAAATACATTTCCTTGTATAAAGTAAGAAATAATGCATCATCTAAATAAAAATAACATATATTAATATAGAAGAAGAAAAGTTCAAATGGGATTCTGTTTTTAAGAATTATTTGATGAATGTAGATTGTTATCGATAAACTTTCAGCTCAATCTATCAGAATTTATAGTGATCTTCAAGCGTGACTTGTAATCACGTTAATTTTTTTTATACTAATAAAAACATACCTCCGACATGTTCTTTTAATGCTTCAGCTGATGGCCATTCTGTATTATAGTTTTGTATCATTGTTTCATAACTAAAAACAAAGAGATAATCCTATTAGTTTCATTAAACATATAGCTTTACTTTGAATTATAATAATGTTGAACAAGTGTTACAGGTCCTTCATGAATAGCTCGACGAAATTCTGCGAAATGTTCGATAATTTCACGTCGACTAATGCTTTGAACGCCTCCACCATACGATCCTCCGAAGTAATGATCTAATTATATCCATAAAGAAAAATTAATCATAAATTTTAAACAGAAATAATGAACCAACCTGGTTGATTCGTTGTTGCTTGAGCTGCACCGCCACCATATGGTTGATACTAGAATTAAATCATTTATTAAATAAAACAAAAATCAAAAAAAAACAAAGTTTCTTACTTCAAAATCCATCATGATTATTAGTTGTTATAAAATTTTGATTTTCAAAATCTAGAAATAGTTTTTTCTTTTAAATCACAATAAATACTATCAAGATATTAACAAAAGATTCTTTCGCTTCTTATGTCTGTATATATATATATATATATATGATTGAAAGACGAAAATGCATTCATTATAAGGTCGCTTCGTTTTCACTTTCTCACATAAGTTAAAATATAAAAGTAAATGGAAAATACTGGAAGTTCGTTTGCAAACAAAAAGAAACTTATATAGTTGCTGTACAATACAAAAAGGTTAACGAAACGAAAACGATAATGTTTTGATATATCACATGAATTTAGTTTAGACCAATGCCACCTATATTTGATGCAATTTGAGCGGATGGTCCAAGAAGAATCTAAACGATGTTTTAGAAAAATTATATGAAAATTTTATTTAAAAATTTACTTGACGTGTTTGCGCAGCTTCCATATCGAGAACTTGTGAAAATTCTAGTTGAACAAGAATTGGAAGAATTAAGACAAGAAATGATGAACTACAAAACCAAATAGATTTTTTCATAAATGGACCAATATATTTTGAATATTGATAAGAATTGTGAAATAATCTATGTAACCAATTAGGAAACATTTCAGTTAAACCATAAAGACGTTCAATGAATGTTTCATCTTCAAATTCCTTTAAAAATATTTTAAGTAAAAAAATTTCAAATAAATACTTTTTATTTTAAATAACCTCGGAAACTTCACGAGTTAAATTATTTGGTATTGTTGGTGGAATTGTTTCATCTGATGTATCAAGATTTCGATTATCAATGGTAAAATGATCAGGCATAAAATCTAATTCATCATTTATTTCATAACCATTTGAAGGAATTATTTCAATATCATTTTCATCAATTGAAGTTACTAATGCAGATAAATCTTCTTCACTCATTGAAATTATTCGCACAAATATTTTTGTTTGAATTATATTAAGCAATACTAAGTTTAATACATTCAAATAGATTTCCAAGATTTACCAGAACTTTTGTTTGACTGGTTAATGTCTTCTACCAAAAAGACTAAACCATGGATTTCATTTAGTAGATGTCGTGCATTCGATAGTTGGGCGCTTTTCTTTTTTTATGTGACAATTTATATTTGACGAAAAATCTATTTGAAAATAGAATTATCTAATCATTTTATTACGTTTTAAAATCATAAGGAGGTCGTTACTAAAGTTTCGTACAAATCAATGGCGACTAGAAATAATCTGTTAGTTTCAATTTAATAGAGAATAAAACTCTGTTAAAATGGATAAATATACTGTAAGCTTCATATTGCAATTATTTTTTCTATTATCTAATTTATTTCGATTAAAGATCGACGAAAATCTCGGTCTAGATGCACTAGCCGAACGAATTATTGTGCAACGAAAAGATTCAGATGAATCTTATACTCTTTCAAAAGTTTGTTTTCATTCACATATATATATTCTGTTTAACTGAACTTATTTTTCTTAGATGGAATTAATGGATATGACAACAACTGCTGTTGCATATCAAGAAGTAATTATTTATAATAATCTTTATTTATTTTTATTTTCTCACTTAGTATCTTCCTTTAATGAAACTATCATATGAACATGTCGCATCATATATTGATATATTTACATCAGTTGAACATAAAGTATACATATTTTATTAGCAAAATCTTTTTTTTAGAAGTCAAATTTCTTTAGATTAGTGCAACGTATATTAATCTCGTATCGGAATATTTTCCAATGGGAAATCTTGATAAATATTTACGAAAATTACGACAAACAAAAACTCCACTTGATAATCAAGTAAGAATATATATATATATCATCAAAACGACTAATCTGTATCTTTCTTTCAGTTAATTGATGTTTGGTTTGCACAAATTTTAGATGGTTTAATGTATTTATGGAGTCAAAATATTCTTCATCGGTTAATAAATAGGTTTTTATTCGAATTATATATTCCATTTGTTTTCTTATAGAAATTTAAAACCAGATTGTATTTATTTACGTGGAGAAAATAACGAACAAAATTGTTCAGTTATTATCGGTGATATGATTCCACCATCAGTTGCTTATGATGTTCGTATGCGAACACGATTGCCTCGTCGTATGTATAATTATCTATTAAACAAAAAGCATTATTTATTATAAGATCTAGTTTTTTTAATTGATAAATCTAGTTGTATTAAATGTCATAGTAGGAAAAACTAAATTTTGCTAATTATTATTTTATTTTGAAACGACGAATATATATTTTTTTCTTTATTCTAGGTGCACTTTCATATACAGCACCAGAAATATTAGAATCTGGAGAATATTCCATACAATCAGATATCTATTCATTTGGTTCGACACTTTTAGATATGATTACTTGTGATATATTAAGTGTAAGAAATTATTTTGATAAAATTTCTTAGATTTATTTATAATTTTCAGGATGATGAAACATTGCAATTACGTATTTGTGCACGACATGATACTAATATATTGTCTCAAACTCTTCAAAATTTACAAAAGGTTAATTAATATGATGAATTATAGAAGATTGATAAAATTTATTATCATTAGACACACAAAACAATCTCGACATTGATTGGTCAAATGATGATTCCAGATCGACAAAAACGTTTGACAGAAGTGTAAGTTACAGTAATATTGTCTATAAATTTCATTTGTTTTCTATAGAGATTTACGACGTGATGATTATATAATTGAAAGTATGCATAATATTGATTCTGATCAAATGAAATATCCATCTGAACGTGATAAAAAATGGGCTCGAGATGGTATTTATAAATATTATTTTCTAAAAATATAATATTATTTTTATAGGTTTAGCAAAAAATGAAAAATTTGAATATTATTTAAATTATTTAAAACAACATCGAAATGCTGAAAGTCGTATTGAACATGCACTTCAATTATGTAATCAATCAAAATCAGTAAATTGATTTAATTCAATAAAATAAGCTCGTTTTTCTTTTTCTTCTATAGATTGATTTATCAATATTAGCAAATAGTTTTCAGAAAGATGTCATACCTATTGTCGAACATTTTATATCAAATTCAATTATAATTGATGGTACACTTGAATTATTAGATAAAATAATTCATAATGATGTGATAATTACAACACAAGTTGTAACATTTGTTGCAAGAATGATACCTGTATGATTCTATAGTTTTTCGGTTAATTACTTAGATTGTTTTTTTGATGATATAGATATTTGAAAATGATGAACATTTAATTGGAAAAATAATTGGTATTCTTATTAATTTTGCAACAAAAAGTAAATTCGTATATTATCGTTGATTTTTAATATATGTTATGATTGAAATTTAGATGCTAAACTTGTGATAAATGCTCATATAAATTCAAATTTAATTCAAGTTATGACTAAGCATGCAAATAATGCTGATGTTAGTGCAAAATGTTGTACACTTATTTGGCTTATGGCAAAAGATTCAATCAGTTAGTTAATCTAATTTTTTCACTATTGAGAAAAATCTAAAAAAAAGAAAATAGTTCCTACTTGTAAAATGTACGAAATTTAATCGCTAATTTATAATAATCGTAGGCATTTAAATTGTGTCGCTCGCTGAAATTTCTACTATTTGAATCAAAGCTTACGAGGGAACCTCACCACTTGATACATTCCGTTTGCGCTTATATTGCGCCCTCAAGCAGGTCTTAGTGAGACTAGAAAAAAATCAAATAACGGAGTTTTGAGCTGAGATTTTGCCCATAGACAGGTCTAATCATCTGTAGAATATTCTGAAAATTTCATCTAAAAAGACTGTTCCTGTGTTGAAATATTGAATTTTTAAAAAATCATTGTTTATCACAGACAAGGAGCAAAAAGCCAGTTTACTTGAATGTCGACTATCTCGACAAAGGAACAGTTTTTTCAGGTGAAATTTTCATGATATTCTACGGATGATTACACCTGTCTATGGACAAAATCTCAGCTCAAAACTCCGTTATTTGATTTTTTGCTCAATATTGAGAAAATGGTCAAAAACTCAGTAAAAAAGCTATAACGCGGCTCCAGATTCCGTCGTTAGTTCATTTCAATACACTGTCTAACCCATCCCATAGATTATATTATAAATCTAACATCTTAATAAACTTTTCATTATTTTATTGTATATTAATTTCATTTAGCAAGCGATCTACGCAGTAATCACGTATTACTTCTTGGCATCCTCTTAGATATTCTTCAAAAACATCCAAATAATAGTGATATTTTTACTAAAGTATGCTTTGCATTTTTACCATTCATTTTTGAAAGTATGTCTATGAATTTTAATAATATTCAGTCATTAATGTCTTATATATAATAGAATCAACGATCGATTATTTAGTACAATTCAATCTTGTACGTTATTTTACTATTGGTTTACAGAAATACAGTAATGATCGTAATGCAGTTAAAGCTGGTTTGTATTTTCATTTCTTCATCTTATTCACATATATGAAATCTTTTATTTTTCAGCACTTGCTGTTTTATCTGAATTATTTAAACTTGACGGTATTATCTTATTTCTTCAAAATTAACAAGAAGACTAAAACTCTTTTATCTTTATAGAACGATGTGTAATGCGTTTTCTTTGCAGTCGTACGGATGATGGTACACTTATTGATTCTATGGAAAGTTTAAATAAAATCTTTGATCAATTCAAAAATTCAAATGATGTAGCACGAGGAATAATGACATTATTAAAATCCATGTTACCATATGGTCTGTATAAAACCTTTCATTAATTTTATTCTTATTTTTTTATTTAGATGATGCTATTAATGAAATGACCTCAACACGTATTGAAGAAAATTTACTTTATGAAATTAAACGCTTTCATTCAGATAATAATGTAAGTTTATTGAATTAAATCTTATCTAATATTATTTTGTTCATTAAAGGATATTGCAAAAGCCTGTGAAGATGTTATGATACGTATTCGACAGCATAGTTTTGATTCATCATAATATTCTTTTATTGTAAAAAATAACATTTACAATACAAAGATATTTTTTTTTGAAAACAGAAAGAAAAAAAAGGCAAATATAATATTACATGAAAATATTCAGAAGTTTTCTTTTTTTATTAATAAAAAAATGCGTTTTGTTTAAAATATTTTACTTAATAAAACGTTTGGGTAATAATGGTTTGCTTGATTTTATTGGTAATTCATGTGGACTTTCAACATTCGCTAATGGCTCAAGTCTAGATGGACGTGGTGATTGAGATTTGAGACGAGAGACACCAGAACCATCGGAACTACGAGGCACCTAAAATAAAATCATGCAATGAGTTGAATACGATTGAAAAAAAAAGCTTACAAATTTTGTATTAAATGATAAAGGATTCATAACACCAACTGTGGAAGACGGTGCATTAGTAAAAACTTTATTAAAATTTGTTTCTCTATTAACTAATTCCATTTGAAGAAATTTCTTTTCATCCTAAATAAAAACATGTGTATATGTATAGGAAAATATATTTTGAAATTTACATGAATTTTTTTCATTTGTTCTTGATAAGCAGAAATTGTATGTTGAAGTGTTGATATTAAATCAAGATCTTCTGTTCGTGATTCACGTTTACGATATCGTTCTTCAGCTTCATTACAACTATAACGAAAATTTGGAAATAAAAATAAACAATTGTCGATTTGTTTTTTTACTTCATTTGAAGTTCAGATACACGTGTTTTAAGTAGATCATGTGCTTTAGAAAATTCTTCTAATAATTGTTTTTGTTCATTTTCATGTGTTTTAATAAGATCACGAATTTTTTCATCATTTTGGCTACGTAATTTTTCTTCACGTTGTCTAAAACGATAATAATTCATATAGAAATACAAATAACAAACAGGAAAATTTTCGTTTTATACTTCATTTCTTTCTGTGTTTCATTTCGAATACGATTCATTTCTTTACTACGTATACTAAGATCATTTTGTAATTCTTGAACTTGATTTTCAAGTTCATGTAAATCACGAAGACAATTATCAACACGTGCTTGTTTTGTATTAAGATCACTAGTAAGATCTTCAATACGTAAATCAGCTTCACGTTCCTAAAGAAATTTTTAAGATTAAATGAGAAGAAGAAAAAACACAAGATAGTACTAACTTTGATTTTAGTTATTTCAAGAGCACGATCTAATTGAAGACGAATAGCAGTTACTTCTTTTGCATGAGCTCGCTCTTTTTCTTCTATTTCATTTGAATGTGTTCGAGCTAAATCTTTTCGTAATTGTTCTAAAAATACAAAAAAAAAGAAATATTGTTCTAATGAATTGAATCAAAAGTCTAATGTGATATAATACAGATTATATTATTCTATGTACAATGTTTAATTTTTACTGTTTCGATATGAATATTTGTTCATAGAGAAAGATAAGTTTTCAATCGTAATATGTTAATAATTAGCTCTATTGTTAACCATAAAGCCTGTCCAATCTCAAGTTTACGTAATTATCTCGATTTAATGAGTGATACAAAGTTAATTTTATTTTTCATTTCTTCTGATTTCCTACAGTTTCTTTGCCACAAGCTCTAGTCCTTTGTCATTCGTCTCTTTATTCAACTTTCATTTCATCATAACACTCGCATACTTCTATGTAATGTTAGACAAATTCCTTGATAGCGTCTATGTATTCTACTTTTACTAGTGATCATATATCATCGCGTCTATATTCAATAAAATTTCGTATTGTTTTTTTTTCTTACCAAGATTGGATTGCTGTTGAACATTTTGTTTTTCAATTTCTAATGATAATGCTCGTTCGTGATCAGCACGAATTGTTTCTAAATGAGTATTATAAGCAAGTTGTTGACCACGTATATCTTCCATATGTCGACTTTTTAATTCATTTATTTGATTCTATTAAAAAATCAAAGATTTTTATTCCAATATTTAATTATATGAATTTAGATTTACAATATATTCTTTTTCTAATTGTAATTTTTGTTCAAGAGAATTTTGTTGATTTTTAGCTTCCAATCTTTGCATTTGTGTTGTTAAATCTTCTATACGCATTTGAAATTCATTTATTGTACGACGTTTATCTTCATTAGCATTTTGTAATGCAAGTAAATTTTCTTCTTTAGTTTTTTTTATGTTCGTCAAGAATTTGATTCTTTACTAGTTGTAGCTAAATTAAATATAAAACTTTTTATAGAGAAATGATTTTCTATATACAAGATCTCTGAACTACTGACATATGTTGTCAGTATTTATTCAGTCATCAATTGTTACTTCTCTTTATTACGGTTTACTATCTCTTCATAAATAGGGCATCTGTCATTGGCGAAAGTGTGGGGGTTTGTTGGTGAAATTACAATGGACATTTGCCAATTGGCGAAAGTTTAGGCGCGATCAGGTGTAAGTCTAGCAGATTTTCGCCAGCTGTAATAGCGCGAGATTAGTGTAAAATCCATATGACAAATTAATCTAATATTATCAGAATAGGCATACTATAGTCTAAGCCTCTCAATGTATTTACGAGAAGCTATTTTTATACATATGTAATCACATAATGACACTGGCGAAAATTTAGTAGCGAAATTCGAGAGTCCCTTTATTACTGTGTTTTCAGTTTTATTTCGATAAAAATATCCTAATATTATTTTTAGCCTTTCGTAACTTCAGTCAATTTTCACAACCAGTGATTCAATTACATATTTGAAACAAAATATACTTTATGCAAGATACAAAGATATCTGCTATAAGTAATGCAGACCTTTTCATAGATTATTGTTATTAGGAAAGGAAAAAATCGACTTTTATAAATATATCAGAATATTATAAACATTTACAGATTTGTTATCTTATCTTATTCAGAATGCATAAGGAACTTATAGTTAAGGTCTAGAGTAATAGAGAAAACTCTTCTGAGACTAATTCTATAAAGTATGAATTTATCGATAGAATCAGTATTGACAAAAACTCGAGAGTATTCGATTTTATATGTATTTTCCGATAGCTCTAACTCTGAAATATCTGCTTGACGTAGTAGATCTTTTACTTGTTGTTCAAGTTCGTGAATTTGTCTTTGTGCTAATGATAACTCATTTTGTTTTTGTTTTTGTATATCTTCGATTGCTTGTTGTTTTTCATCATCTTTTTGTTGTGTAATTTCTTTTCGAATCTTTTCACAATCAGTTCTATATAAATAAAATAAAACGACTATTTATTCAGTTTAGTTTTATACTTAAGTTTTTTTGTCCATTTTTTCATTTAAATCTAATGCTAATTTATCAATTTTATCTTTTAATTCCGTTTGTGAATGTATTTCTAAATCTTTACAATGTTTCTTTAGATGATCACATTCAATCTTAACAAAAAAAAGAACATAGATATTAATTGAAATTCTATTTCTATACTTGAAATTGTTGTGTTGTTTTCAATTGTTTTTCTAAATCTGAACGAAGTTTTTCAATTTGTTTTATAGATTCATTATTTGATATTTGAGTATCATTTAATTGTTGTTCAATATTCGAATATTTATTTTCTCTATCTTCCAAACGAGTTCTTAATTCATCAATCTACATTTAAAAAAAACAGATAAAAGAAAAGAAAAGAAAAAATAATTTACTTGTTTCATATAAGATTCTTTTAATTGATTTAATTGTTGATTAATTTCATTTTGCGCAGATTTACTAAGATTAACTTCATTTTTCCATTGTGACAGAAGATTTGTTTTATCTAATTCATATTGTTGACGAAGTTCCTAATTTTTAAAGACATAGATTTTTCCTAATAAAATGAATTCATATCTAACTTGTTCTTTAGCTTGTAATTTAGTACGTGATCTTGTTTGTTCATCATTGATTAATTGTTGATGATGTTCATTTAATCTTTCAAGTTCATTTTGCATCTCTTTTTTACATAAGTCAACTTGATTTTCATATGTATCACGTAGATCTGTTAATTCACGATCATATTTTACCATAATTTGTTGTTTTTCATAGGTTAATTCACGAATTGTCTAGATTTCCAAAAAGAAATGTATAGAGATTTAGTATTGCAGGAAATGAATATTTTACTTTATCTAATTCATGAATACGTCGTTCGAGATAATTAGTTGTTGATTCTGATTGTGTTACTTGTGCATGTTGATCTTGTTCAATTTGTCGTAAACGTTCTGATGTTATTTGTAATTCTTTACGACAATTTGTTAAATCATCTTCTAATTGACGATTCGATACTTCTTTATCTTTGAGAAGTTCTACAATAATATTTTATTATTAAATTAAATATATCATCTGTAGTTTATTCTTTGCGTAGGTAATTTTAAGACGCACTATGATTAAGCGAGTGAAGGAGTGACAGTTATGGTGAAAAATCGGCTTTTGAGGCATATTCCAAGTAGTATAGCATCTTTTCGCTGAAAACAAAAAATCGCTAGGGGATGGCGTTCGCCACTGATTTAAGTTTATAAATGTCTTATGACAGATATATATCATAACGCTGTTATTTGACAAAGATGCTGTTCTTTAATTGTTTAGAACATCTTTTTATCATTTATTAAGTGATATTGCACAAGTGCGATCCATCCTTCCTTCCTCTCTGCTTGTTAGTATTACGTATCTATATTCTATTTGTTTTTCTTTGCTCTGTGTGATGGTGCACACTGTCTTTTACTCTGTTGCATTCCAATACAATCACTTTTTTTCCATCTTTTGGATATGCAGTATACAATGCAATAGTTATTTACAAGATGCATAACAATATTCCTTCCCATCTATTTAATTTTTGCCTTGAAATAATTCCAAGAGTGACTACTATTGGAGGACTATCTACAAGAGATTCTCCTGTTCGTCTGATCTCTCCCTTCATTTACAGTAAAATCTCTCATAATGGACACCCCTTCATAGTGGACAACTCCATATAATGGACAGTTTTGAAAGTTCAAAATTATATTTTTTGTTAAAGATGGACCTCTCAATAGTGGACATTGTTATATAATTGTATACGATGAGGATTATTGACAAGTTTAATAGCGTCTACAAAAAACATCTGACTATTTTTTTAGCAAACTGTATGTTCTTCGAGAGCGAAAGTTAATACAAAGAGATGTAAAGATAAATAGTAGTGTTCTTTTCTATTCATTAACGATCTTCTCATGTCCAGAAAACACGTTTACTTCGTTTAACAAAGTATTTCTTCAGAGTTGACCCCACTTCTACAAAGTGAACACTTTTGAGAAGTCTCGATGGTGTCCAATATAGAGAGATTTCACTGTATTCCACAAACATTGCAATCAAAATAGTCTCTAGGGAAATACATCGTTTACACATCTCATAATATTCAACGTAATACACGTTATATTTGTTCTTATTTCAAGATTGATCTTTTCTGGCGTTTATTTCTAAATATTATATTTATCATCTATATATCCACAATCTACACTTGAAAATCTCTATACAAAACAATAGAAATATGCTCAAGGTATAATTCATAAAATATTTTAGACAATGGATGAATTATTTTTATGACTGAAGTATCTTTTTCTATATATATAGATTATATAAGTCTAAGTGATATATCTTATAATAATTTTCTCTAAAATTTACTTGATTTTTCGTCAAGTTCATTAACTTGTCGATTACATCGTTCTTTGATTGTATTCATTTCTCGATCAGTTTTATCAAATTTTTGTTTTAATTGTTCATATTCACTATTTTGTTTTATCAACTAAATAACACATTTAATAAAACTTTTTCTTTATATATTTGATTGTTCTTACTTGTTCATTATATTCACTGAGATTATTAGAATTAATTTTAAAATTATATTTATATTGTTCGAATTCATCTTGTAATTGTTTATATTCAGTTGATTTCATATCATATTGATTTTTTTGTTCGAGTAAATCTAGTTGAAATTTATTTTTCATTTGTTCAATTTCATCTTCAAATAATTTGATTTGTTTTTCTAATTGTTTTTTTTCTTTTAAATATTCTTGTCCTAATTCATCTTTTGACATTTCTTGATTTTTTTCTTTCGATAATAAATCATTATATTTACGTTTTAATTCTTCAATATTTTGTGTATAAAATTTCGTTTGTGCTTTTGTTTCAACATCAAATAAATGTTTCGATTCAATTTTTAAATTTTCAATATCTGTTTGATGTTTTTCATTAAGATTATCAAGTATTTGTTTATGTTCTTTACTAAGATTTTTTAATTGATTATCATAAGTTTGTTTTATCTGATTGATTTCTTGTTTGAGATTAGATATTTTCGTTCGAAAATCTTCCGTTAATTCACGCTCACGTTCAATGGATGATTGTTGAATACGTGAAACTTCATTGATTTGATTTTGTCTAAATTTAATAAATAGATTAATTGAAATAAATCGAAAAGATTATGTTTACCTTTCAGATTCAAGCATTTGAATTTTATTTTCATATAAAGAGTTTTGTGTAGTTTTAATAGATGAGAGTTTTTCAACACGATGAAGTAAATCATCAATTCTCGATGATGCATTATTTGCTAGTACAGATTTTTCTTGTTCAAATGCTTGTTTTAAATTGAATACTAATGTATCATGTTCATCGACTTTTGTATTTAATGTATAAATAACCTAAATATTTTTATTAAATTAATAAAAGTTAATTATATTCTATTACAGTTGATTATTAAATTTCATGTATCGAAAGACATTATCGAATACGCATCAAATTAACTCATAATCAAAGTATATATGGCCATCCATATAGGACGTCTAGGCAAAGGGACTGTGCAAGTAGTACGTTATCCGGTTTTTGACCTTCTCCCCACCAACAAATAATCAAATGGCAAATTTCTAGAATTCCTACCTCCCATGATTATGTTATCACAACGAATTTCTCCATGATAGACAAATCTGTTGTACATTCGGAAATCTTTATACATCATCCTTGAACGACCCCTCCTCTCCCTACAATAATCAATTGTCATTACTGATTGACCCGTTTCCTCCTCTTAAAGTTGATGACGTAATACTTGTGCTGTCCCAGATAGGGCCAGGGGAAGAGCAAAAAATGCCATTTTCACCTGAACATCCTTTATGTCTGATTCCTATTATCTAATAAGAAATTCTTTATATTTGTGATTTTCCTTCTATTTTCTGTCAATATCTCGAAGTTGATTTTGTCTGTCATAATCATTTTATTAAAAAAGCCTTTGAAGTAAACTGTTTATATTAATTACACAATCAATTGTTTAAATAATCGAGCTTTTAGATAATAAGCTGTTTGATAATGCATGGAAAGCTCTTATTCTTATTCTATGTTTATTCATATAGTACAGTTCTTCTTGACATACATTAATGTCTGTAATCCGAACTACTTTTAGCTTAAACATCTGTAAGAGAAGAATACCTCTATTTTACATAATAATAAGTATCTATAAATGTCAGAAAAATGCAAATAATCTCATAATAATATTAGACAGATGCTCTCAATTTAGTATACTGAAATCAACAACAAAACTATTGATTTTTAATCTTGATCTGTAACCATATTTGAGATAAATGTCTTCAAGGATAAAAAAGGTTATTAATAATAATTACTATTTCATGAAAGAATATATATATAAACAGTTGTTTTTTTTATTGTTATATCCATAAAATTATTAATTAATGTTCTCTTTTTCGTTTGTTGTGTATTAACAAACGTCTGCGTATGTAAGAATTCCATTTACGATCTTCTTGAATTCGTATATATTTCTATTATCTCCTAACAAATGGTGTATATGTCACCTAAGATCAACAATTATCATACTAACTGTCAGTTAGAGTATTTTTGCTACTACGTTCTATATCTATCAATTCTTTATAAGTATATCCGGAGGTGGAATATATAGAACACTGATAATGATGACTCGTCGACCATGGACGACGTAATAATGTTGTCATTGATCGAATATACAAAAAGAATTGGAGAGAAAATCAACATAGGAACAAAAAAATAATAATGTGTATTATTATCACCAATGTTTGTGTGAAATATAACAACATCCTATTGTTAGTCCAACTGACTCTGTTAAGAGCAACTGACATGTGAAAAGGGCAACGTCTTCTTTACTCAAGTATGATTAGCATTCTTGAGAAGGCCATCATATTTGATATGAAACAATAGAAGAAAATCCTTATATTGACACATAATCTTTCTTTATCAATATGGAAAGAAAGTATTCTTTTTTTTTTTCGTTTTATTCTTTGTACTTTCGTTCTTATGATGATATGTTCATCAATGCTTCCGTAGAGGAAAAAAAAGAATCGAAGAGAACGGATGTATATGCATAGCGTACAACGCCTCGCATACCAAACCTCAGTCATTGTACACATATAGGACATAACTATTGCCACGCTGAATGCATGTACAAGGTTTCAACATTTCTTTCTTACTTGTTCGTTACGCACTCGCTCGCTTGTTTCTTTTTTCTCCCCCTCTCTCTCTCTCTCTTTTCTTTCCGTGTATATACATGCGCTTCTTCTACGCTCTTTTCTTTTCTTCTCCGTTTTTATGTGGTACACACACGAGACTCGCTGTAACCATTTTTTTTTGTGTCGCATACTTTTGTGCATAGCCATTTTAGCCTGTAAATGACTTACACTCAATCTGACGCTGTAACACATATTCGATAAAAAAAAAAAACTTCAAAACGTATGTCATATTTGTTTATATCCACATACAGCTCGTCATTTTCATTTATGTATTCATAGTAAACATATATTTTTTTTTATTCCTTAATATTGACATTTTAGTGAAGAGAAAAGGAAAAAAAAAAGCGAGAGAAAATTTGAAAGAACAATAATTTTTAGATTATTTTTTTCGTTTACGATATGGGAAATAAAGCGGGTGGTAAAGGAAAGAAAGATCCAACGATATTAACTGATGAAGATATAAAAACATTAAAATTAAATACTCAATATACAGAAGAAGAAATTCAAGCATGGCATTCAGGTTTTCTCAAAGATTGTCCATCGGGTAAACTTGATAAAAAACAATTTCTAAATGTTTATAAGGTATGTGTGTATATATAAATAAAAATAAATAAATTTAAATTTTATTTTTATATTAGAAATTTTATCCCGAGGGTAAAGCTGATAAATATTGTAACTTTGTATTTAAAGCATTTGATACAGATAATAATAATTGGATTGATTTTACAGAATTTTTGTAAGATGAAAAGATTTTTATTTTTATATTAGAATCATTTGTTTTTCTTTTCTATCTTAAGATTAGCTGTTGGAGTATCTCAACACGGAAATCTTGAAGATAAATTAAAAATGGCTTTTGATATCTATGGTAGGATATTATATTTTCTTATATACTATTCGAAAAAAACTATTATTATTAAATTCTAGATCAAAATAAAGATGGACAAATAAATCGCAAAGATATGATTAAGATAATTGAAGCAATGTATGATTTAGCTAATGAAGAAGATCGTAGTGGTGATAAATCACCAGATAAACGTGTTGATCTTATTCTTCAACGTTTAAGCAAAGATAAATCTGGTTCGATTGTCTATTCTATATCTATATCTATTTTTCTATTCTTTAAATAGATGTTGTTCTTCGTAATGAATTTGTTCAAGGTTGTCTTCGAGATGAATTTTTACGTAAAATTCTTGCACCAAATACGGCACTTCTACCAGGTGGACAGATCTCGAACACAACAACTACAACAAATGCCTCATTAAATACAACGACATCATTTAATGAAACGGGTGCAGCCGTTTAAAAATGAACAGTTTATGAACAGTTTTCTTTTCATTTTCTTTTTCACATTTCGTTCTTTTTTACTACACAATGTATATTGTTTGTCTCAGACATGGTGCTCTTTTTTTCTCTTATTTGCAAATAATAGATAAGAAAAGATAAATTGAAAAAAAAAACAATTCTCTATTCAAATTACATACTTTAGTCAATTGAGCAATCTTTTTTGCCATTTTAACATGCATTTCTTGTGTGAGTGTAGTTTCTTCATCAATACTTGGATTTACTGTTGATGATGATGGTTGCTGTTGCTGCTGTTGAAAGAAAGTATTTGAAGATGTATTTGATGTATGGTGATTTTTTGTAAACATTTTTGTACTAGCCATGAGTTAATTTATCTAGAAAAAAAGAAAACGTTGACAGATAAACACATGATTTATAAAAAAAATCGATCGATTGATAGAAGCCATTTTACGGGTCGTTTCCATATGTTGTTGCGTAGTTTTAGCAGGTTATGAAATTATTCATAAATTAATAACAAAAATTCATATATTCAATGAATAGAAATATTTTTTCAATGAAATAAATGAAGAATATTTTAACGATTTAATTCATAATTATTCTGAACAATTGACTATGTGCGACATCTAACAGGTGAATGATATATATAGGTAAGATATCAGCGTTAAACGATGGTGATTGAAATCTGTAAGAGATGATGATATAAACTATAAAATTGAGACATTAAAGATGCATCATTAATTTGTTAATGTTTATTTTTAAAATAAGATTGTTGAGATTTTGTCAAGTGAAACTATGTGTACTTCAAAACTTATTCATATTGCTTCATTATTTATAATCATTTTCAGACTGTTTATACTATTCATAAAAGAGTATGAAATACTTACGTGTGACGATTACTTAAACGATGTTATTTCTTATTACATCAAACTTTATATACACACGTAGTTTTATTTTAATGAATTCATTAAAATTTTTATATTTTCATTATTTATTCTGTAGTCATTTCACTTATAAAAATATGTGTTTTATGTTTCAACATTGAAAAATTAATTCAAAGCTTTTTTTTGTTCTTATTTTTTTTCTAAACAAAATAAATTCATACGTTGTGTATTTTATTTTTACATTTCGCACAACTTTTTTATCTTTTAAACATGTCTGAAAAATGTTCGATTGCAACATGTGAACGTTTACAACATGCATTATGTCATGGATGTAAACTAAATTTTTGTCGTGAACATATGTTTGAACATTCGTTAGCAACACATTTACAATTAAATCCATTAATTGATCAAACTAATCAACTGCAAGATGTTTTAAAAGGTTTAAATCATACAATGGCAATTGAACCAGCTTTTAAACAATTAGAATTATGGCGTCAGAAAGCTCATCAAACAGTAGATCTATATTATGGAGCAAAATTGCAAGAATTAGAACTATATGTAATTAATAAAATTAAAGAACAGGAACAGGAATTAATTGCTATTCAAGCAAGAATTACAACATCTTCACGTGAACAAGATACAACACATGAACTCATAGATATATTAACACTTAGAATAGAAAGTTTACGAAGAGATATAAATAAAGTTTTACAATCTGATTTTCCAGTTCAAATTAATCCTTTAACTATTGATAAAAATGTAATTAATATCGAACCATTATTTGATATATCAAAACTTCCAACTGTATATAGAATACTTAATCGTCATCATCAAAGTTTTACATCAATAGCAGCTAATGATAAACTTTTATTATTACATCATCAAGGTACATTACTTTTTGTCGATGAATCATTATCAACATTTAAACAAATTCAATGGACATATGGACCTATTTATGATATGTGTTATTCAATTGTATTACAACAATTTATAATCATAAATGAACATGAAGTATTTCTTTTAAATAAAGATAATATGAGTATCACTAAAGTTAGTTCTATTCCATATCAACAATGGTTTTCATGTACATGTTCAAATACTTCATTATATTTATCAACACAAGTTTATAGTTCATCAATTATGGAATTTAATTTATTAGATTCAATGGCATTTGTTAAAAAATGGACATCACCTGATACATGTGTAAAAAATGAAGCAATTGATGGTATGTTTTATAATAATGATAAACTTGCTTTAATGATTAGTAGTGATGTTCAAAAATCTGTGCGCATAGAATTACGTGTAGCATCATCACTTAAGGTTGTTTGGTCACTTCAACTTGATCTTATCTATGATGAAAGTCAAGCTTATCGATTTTGTTTGATTAATAATGATGAATGGCTTGTATCTGATCATACTGGTTCACGTCTTTTACATATATCGAATGATGGAAAAATCAAATCAATTGTTGCATATCAACCGGCTCCATGTTGTGCAGTTAAATTTACACCTAATATGTTGGCTGTATCAACAAAATCAGTTATTCAATTACATAAATTTTTATAAAAGTAAGTTAATTTTACGAAAATATTGTATATAAAATTTTCCTTTGTTATTATTATAGGAGCAAATAATCTCGTAGTAAAATTCAAATAAAAAATATGCTAATAAAGTATAATATTTCTATCCAAAGTTTCAATATATATATATATAATAAGAACAAATTGTAAAAAGAAAAGAAGTATTTCATAGTTTCGCATTGAAATTTAATAAATTACTTTTTTTTATACAGATCATATTTATTTAATCATTATCATAAGTTCAAAAGAATGTTTTCTGATTGAAATTTGTTGGTATTCAATTTAATTATTATCTAATGTTTAACAATCTTTTATTTAGTTGTTGCTAGAAATCCAATAAAGGATGATAATATGTTTTTTTGAATATTTACCAAGACTATAGAAGCAATTAAACCTACAATTCTTCATACAATATCTATGTGAGATAATAATTCGATAAAAGTTTTCTATTAAAAAATAAGTTAATTTGGATAATGTTTTTGATTCTATGATAAAAAAGAAGTTTTCGAACAATCGTATTAGTACAGATGTGTGGGATGACCTGTTCGATTTTTTAAAGTCATTGTAAATAACTAAAATAATAGGTGCATATGTCGAAATAATTTTAGGGCGTTCGTTATATGTAATATTTCTTTCAGTCAGTTGTTTTTCTTTTATTTCGAAATTAAATTTTGAAGGACGTCACTTTGCCAAACATTAATAAAGTGTATTATGCGTGATTTTTTTTCTTCTGCATTTTATTCGAATTTAAAAAAGTTACTTGAAAATATTTTTTCATGACGCATTTATTTTTAGAAAAAAAAAGGGGAAATAAGAAAAATATACATTTACTGATTATTCTGTGAAGTTAACCTTAGTCGATTGACATTTTCTATAATTATGACAAGCATTGATAGACAATAACCTAGAAAACAAGTCTATTTTTTTCCTATTGAGAATATGGCTTCAACGGTAAAATATTACTAAATGTTATTAAATAACCTTTTTTTTGTACTGATAATACTGAAGAATCTATTGTTCAATCAACTGAATACTTCTATCATGAAAGAAAGTCTGATAAAATATTCTATTTTGATCGAAGATCTAAAACTAAAAGACCCATTGCTATTAATGAACTCATTACAAATGTTCTTAAAATACAAATATGTAGATTATGAATTAATGTCACATTTGTTATGAAGAAAAGGAATTTTTTGTGTATCTAGCTTACGAAATGAAACATTTCAAGGTCTTCTTAATGCTAAAAAAAAGGACAAAACAAGCATATTTTCAAGGATTTTTAAGAACAAAAAAACAACACTATAAGATATCTTCAATTTATTGTATAAAAAAGACACTATATAACCTGTATGTCAATATCTTAGAATAAAAAATTTATGTTATCTTTATAAAAAATAAAAATCAATTTCAAAGTATCCGCCCAAATCAATTCTCGAAAATATTTCAGTACTCAATCACAGTGCACTTTCACCTGATCACTTAAGACTGTCGAGCAACGGTTGTTTTTCATGCAAACAAACAATTGTATTTCTTTGTTAAGTTTTTATCAAATATGTTTTTTTGCTTCTTTCTTTTTTTAATAATTGTCAAAAGAAAAAAAGTAAGAAATTTTTATTATAATCAGTACACAGACAAATGTCTCAGCCATGCGCTATACAAGCATGTAAACGAGTTTCACGGACATTATGTTATGGATGTAATCAAAATTTTTGTCGTGAACATATGCGTGAACATGATTTAACTTTGAATTCACAATTAAATCCATTATCAGATGAAATCAATGCACTTGGTGATCGATTAAAATCAATAAATCTTGAAAATGCTATTGGTGATTCACGTCAAAAATTAGATAAATGGCGTATAGATTGTCATAAAACAATAGATTATTATTTTGATGAAAAATGTCGTGAACTTGATCGATGTATTGAAAAAAAAAATGGAAAAACAACGTGAAGAAATAAGTCGTATGCGTACAAAATTATCTGAATTAATACAAGAACAAGAAGCGACACATCGAGATATTGATTCATTAACATCAACTGTAAAAGATCTTGAACGTGAAATGAGTAAAATTGAACAAACATCATTTCAAATTGAAATCAAATCATTAGTTCTTGATGATAGTTTAATACAAATTGAAGATTTAGATGTAAATCGTTTTGATTTATCATCATTATCATCGATATATAAAACAATAAATTATCCAAGAGAAAATTGGGCACCATTAACATGTAATAATCGTTATTTATTAATACATCAAGAACCAAATTTATGTTTAGTTGATCGTGATTTAACAATAATAAAACAAAATTCTTGGATATATGGAACAATTTATGATATGTGTTGGTCATCAGCATTAAATCGTTTTATTGTTATAAATGGTAGTGATGTTTTTCTTGTTGATGAAGATAATATGTCTATTGAAAATATTCAAACGCTTCAAAAGCGTAAATGGTTATCATGAACAACATCTGAAACATCATTATTTTTATCAACAAAAGTATGGGGTTCATCTATAATGGAATTTAGTTTATTACCAACAATTGAACTTGTTAAACAATGGCAATCGCCAGATACATGTACACGTGATGAAGTTATTAATGGAATTGTTTATAATAATGGAACAATTTGTATGATGATTAGAAATCCATCAGAAAAAACTATACATATTGAAATGAGATCATCTGCTACATTAGATAGATTATGGTCTGTTAGACTTAATATTGCATATAGTCAAAATATTCGAACTAGATGTTGTTTAGTAACTCATAATGAATGGCTTGTAGTTGATCGTAATACTTCACGTATATTTCATATATCTAAAGATGGAAAAGTCAAATCATCAAATGCATATAATCCACCACCATTTTGTGCGACAATATATGATCAAGATATGTTAGCTGTATCGACAGCACGAGGTGTAAACTTACATAAACTCTAGTCTAAAGATCAAAGAGTTCTCTTCTTTTATCTTGTTCATATAATTTTTGTATTTGTTTTTTTTATTCATGTATTATATTTATTTAAGAAAAAAACATACGGAAGAGTATAACATTCCTCATCATTAATACGTCTAATAATAGATTATGATTTGAAAATATCATATTCTTTTTGCTAGAAATTCTTATCATTAACAAACAATTGTTTTGTGTTTTGTTAATTTATTTTATATGATTAATAGTCTCGATAATAAATGTTTTATAATGACTTACTGACATCTAGAGAATATCGATTATAAAAAATATAAAATAATATAGTTCTATTTTTTTACATAGAATATGATTAATACTATTATCAAATTTCTCAATCAAACAATTGACTTTTTTTTTTCATTACTATACCAGTCAGATTAAAAAGATTTAACACATACACCTATATTCGTTTGCTTTCTTATCGAATACTATTTTATGAGTATACACAGGTAGAATATATTCTTTTCATCTTATTAGATTTTGTTTTTGTTCTTATTATAAAAATGTGTGAGAATAATTCTGGAAAGTGTTTGTGCTCGTATTGTTCAGGAAGTAAATCATAATTAATGTAAATTTTCATATATATGAAGAACATAATTTCTTAAAGGTATTGCAAAAGGATTGACAAAAATGAATGAAGACTATCTTCTCGAATGTAACCAATTAATTGACAATGATATTGAAAATAATTACAATGATTTATCCGTTAAACTTGATAACCTTAATCCTGTTCAATGTTTTGATTTATTAGATAAATTATGTAGTAAATACTCATCGTAATATGATTTAAATCAAATTTTTATACTAATAATAATATTTATTAATAGGACAACAGAAAATCCTAAACTTGATGAATTAATATTAAAATTTATCGTTCGATTTCGAAATAATGGTGGATTTTTTCTTGCACTTAAACAACCGCAAAATCATCGGCAACATCTTTTACAACGACTCAATGATTTAATCTTGATAAACAAAGAAAATACTGTAAAAACTAATTTAACACCAACTGAATTATATTAATCATACGTACATTTACATTTATTCATGCAAAAACCAATTGGCCCTTCCCCCTTATTTTTTTTCTAGGTATTTGAATGACTTTTACTTATTCAGAGTTCGTGATTAAACCATGATCTACAATAATTATTCACTCAAAGATAAATATTTTTGGCAAATAAAGTTCTATATTAAAAAAAGTCTAGTTCTTTTCTTTTTTTTGGTATCAGATGTCATGTCACAATCAATACCGACACATAAACATAATGTCGATGTCTTTAATTTTATACGGTGACTGCCTTTCCCTCAATTACTAAAGAACTATGTATGGATGGTTACACGATAAAGATAAGCCACAATTAGCTAGATTTCCGTTGACTCTACTGAATCCTCCGAATGAATTCTTCAGATAAAAAAGCAACAAAAGGAAACAGATTAGATAAAAGTACTTTTGAGCAAGCACGGGATTCTAGATTTGTTTTTTCTTTCCTTGTAACTCAAGTGGAGAAAAGAGAGAAGAACGAAGAAAAAAAAAAAAGAGAAAAGTCCTAACGAACTATCAAAATATATTACATATATGCAATTTACTTATATATATATAACCAGAAAGAATATATAGAGTTAAGATTTATACATTTAATACAAAAATCTTTGTAAGTAGATTGTCGTTAGATTAACATAAACATAAAAACAAATGGGATTAAATCAAGCAAAAATTGAAGATTATGTTTATAATTCTATTGGTAAGCATACTCAATTAAAACGAGATGATATACTTGCATGGCAACAACGTTTTATTCAACATTGTTATCCTGGTTCACAAACAATGACAAAAGAACAATTTTGCAAATTTTATCAAGAACTTCGTCCACATGAAAATGTTAAACTTTTAAGTGAAAATGTTTTTCGTGCTTTCGATTTAAATGGTGATCATGGAATAACTTTTTCTGAAGTATGTTTCTATATATATATATAGAAGATTTTCATAATTATTAAATACTAACATGTTTTTCTTTGATACAATAAGATAATCATTAAATAGAAAACTTGTTTTATGTTATACATCCATACAAAGTGGATTATTTTTTTATAATGAATAGTACTTTTTCATTATGTAAAGCTACTTGACAATCCTTGTGAATAGATAAAAGGAAACGATCTAATTATACCTTCTAACATTTAATTTGTAGTTTTTCTATTTTTGTCTATATAGTCTAGATGTATTTTGACCTCTGAGTATAAAATTACGTTCTATATGTTTTTTTTCCATTATAATTATAGTTTCTTGTGGCATATGTTACAACAACTGAAGCACCATTAGAAGATAAACTTTGTTATGCATTTAATGTTTATGATATTGATCGAAATAGTTCAATTGATCGTGCTGAAATTTTATTTATTTTACATGCAATGTTTGAATTATTAGGCATGAATGATAAATCTCATAAATTTTCATATAATCAATGTGCTGATGCGATTATGAAAAGTCTTGATGTTAATAAAGATCAATGTATATCGAAAGAAGAATTTATTCAAGGTTTATTACGAGATCCATTTTTACAAAGTCTTATGAATCCTTTTCAACATGTTTAATTATATTATACATATTAATAAAAATATATATAATAATGTATTTCTTTTTTTTCTCATTTTATCGTCTTGTATTGTTTGTTCGTATGATTTAATAGGTTTCCTATTTTCTGTTATTTTTCTTTTGTTCATGATTTAATAAGAACAGCAGGAATATAAGATTTATTTTTTATTAAAAAGAAAGAAGAAAATAACATGTTGTGAAGTATAATAAGTATGAATGCTGATCGTCATCTTGATTCGTGGTCAAAACGAAATATCCTAGATGAATCTCTCTATTCATCCGATATTGACAATGTCATTGAAAAAAATGGCTGTTCGTGATCTTGTTGCTAAACGTCTTAATCGACAACGTCTTTTAGCATCCGATATCTTTTGTCGTTCAACTGCATACAAACCAATTCGATCATTGTCAAATCGATATCAGAATATCAATCCATATCATTCTATTGCACCAAGTGAACTGCCACATGTTAATCCTAATCAATATCAAATACCTTTCTGTTGTAAAAATTGTCATAGTCATGATTTTTCATATTATAATGTTTCCGATCGTCAACCTTCATATTTTCCATTAGCACAAAAATACCACCGTTTACAAATTGATTATAATAAATTTCATACATTAATTAAACGAAAAAATTTAAAACAACGTTGGAAAATCTATGGTTTTATATTAATATTTTACTTCACATTAAAAAATAAATTACGTTTAGCAAAACAAAAACATACATATTATCAACATAATTATGATCGTATACGTTTTTTAGAATTATTAACAGTTATACATCGTGTTTATCTTGATCCAAATTCTTCAATCTATCAAACACTATCCAATGTTATTAGAATTTCAAATAAATTATTAAATCAAACTAATTTATTTCATTGTGTACAAACAATTCTTGATCAAATAACAAATTTCTTACCTAAATATGGTATTGTAGGTACAAATAGTGATGAATCTGTTCTAATTTATTTACTTAATTGTTCACTTGAACAATATCCATCAACATATTTTTGGTCTATTGAAAAACATCTTCTATCTTTAAGTTATTCAAAAATGAAAGAAAATAAACTTTTCTATATCGATCATTTTACAACGAAATTTCTTCTTATATCCATATTTATATTTCATGGTTTAATTAAAACACTTCTATTTAAACCCGTTAAATATCGTTTAATACGTGGACAACTTAATCGTACACAATGGTTAAATCTACGTTTATTATCAACATTAATTCTCTATATTGCACGTCATGCAATTTTATATAAAGAAGATAAAAATTCTTTACCTATGCCATTTCCATTTGAAATGAACAAATATTTAATTGATGATGAAGAATTAACCAATGAATTTGAAGATCTTATGAAATTTGTTAAACCTTGGCATTTAAACTTAGTCTATGGGCTTGTAAATATGCTGAATGTTTACAGCGTCATATAAAAAAACAATTATAAAAAATAATCTTTTTAAAATTTCTTTCGTTAAATAATAAACTGTATTTTCATGTGTCTACGTATTGTTTGTTTCATATTTAAAAGGAAGAAGAACGAATAATAATAATACAGATCAAATGTTTTGAACATGAATAAAAAAAAAACATCAAACTAGTCAATATAAAGTTCTATTAATTTTTCAGATAAATTTTATGTGAAGAAATTCGATCCGTGATTTTCAAGATATATGTATATGTACATATATCATGAGATTAAAATTAAAGAGATGCTCGTTCAACATTAAAATCATAATTAAAAGATTGATCAATTTCATAAGCTGATAAAATATGAAATGAATCTAAACCAGATAAATCATTTTCATTACGTTGTTTATTATTCATTCCAGCTAAATATTTTGGATTAATTGCAAATGGTATACAATCAAGAATTTCTTTTTCATCACTTTTTTTTTGTAAGTGTATTTGTATTTGAATAATCTGATACTGGATAAGGTGTTTGTTGTTGTTGTTGAGATGTTGAATAGGATGGATCAGCCATTGGATTTGGATAGAGATTTGATTGTGGATATGGTACAGCTGGTGGTGGACGTAATGCTGGTACAGTACCTTCTTTAACACACATTTGTAAACCATTTATATCTCCAATTAATGTATAAAATTGTGGTGGTCGTTTTGAACGATAAAGAAATACAATATCACATATACATTTCATTCCTGGTTGTCTATCGACCATTTTAACACAGATTAATTTTTTAACAGTACCTTTTTCACGTGTATCTGATGTATAAGCTAATGTTGTATAATTTGGTGGGACATTATCACGTTCATTTATAAGTTTTATATCTTCGAGAACACGTGCACAATCTCCAGCAAGTGTACGTACATCAGTTAATGGCCATGCACGAGTTATACAAAGAAAACGATCTTTACGTTCAAGTATTGAATCAGCCATGAGATCAGCATCACGATTTGTATCATCAAAAGCTGAAAAATATGAATAAGATGTTATTGTTTATATAAATCTTCGAATGAATTGATCATTGAAAAAAAAATAGTAAAAAGAAAACAAATGCAACAGAAGTAGAGACCTGCGGAGTCCTCCGTAGCTCTCTAAACAAAAGGCTGACATTTGTTTTGTTTTTTAACTTTATGTATAATTCTATTCAATAAATATTTATCAAAAAGTGATTTTTTTTTACCTTTTCTGATACAATGATAACCTGTTGGAACATTATTTGGTTTCGATACTAAACAAATGCCTGTTATAGGTAATTGTGTTTCATTCATTGTCAATAATATATTTAATTCTCTTAAATATTTACAGTATTGTTTTTAAAGAAAAGAAGAAAAAAAAAAGCGTCTTTTTTGTCAGAATAAGATGACACATCCAGTTGATTATGATTGGTTGAAAAAATTCTTTCAATAATATGATAAATATATTTCATCAGATTTTTTTTAAATAAATCTTACATCATTTTGAAGAAATTTTTTAAGAAATATTTTTTTATATGATTAATTATTTTTTGCTCACTCTATATTAACATCTAACCAATCATATACATAGATATATTCTTTCCCAATAAATAAACAAATAGTCTAAGGCAAGACAAATAGTCATTATCTTTACTAAATTAATCCAACGAAGATATTATGGGAAAACAAAAAGGTAGAAGATAAAATAGTTTATTTTATTAAATTATACTTTATTAATTGTAGGTAAAAATGTATCAACACATGAGTTAATGTTAACAACCATATCTGATGTTGTTAAACAATTAATTGATGCGTATGAACAAGGAAAAGATATTGATTTAAACAAGTAAATTAATTGTAATTAAAGAAAATATTATTATTGTTTTTCTCATTAGAGTTAAATGTAAAGCATCAGCTAAATATGGACTCAGTTTACAACCACGTTTAGTTGATATTATCGCTGCAATACCAGAGTCGCATAAAAAAAATGCTTCTACCAAAAATAAAAGCTAAACCTGTTAGAACAGCTAGTGGTGTAAGATTTATTATTTAAATAATTTTCTATATCGATCTTTTTTTTCAAATGATTAGATTGTAGTTGTTGCTGTTATGTGTAAACCTCATCGATGTCCACATATTGCTATGACTGGTAATATATGTGTATATTGTCCTGGTGGACCTGACTCAGATTTTGAATATTCAACACAATCATATACAGGATATGAGGTAAATTCTAAGAAAAATTAAGAAAGAGAATCTTTTTTGTTGAAATGAAAATAAAATAATGTGTTTAATATATTATATTTTAGCCAACATCAATGCGTGCTATTCGAGCAAGATATAATCCATATCTACAAACAAAACATCGACTTGAACAAGTATATTCTATACAATTATTATTATAAAAATAAATTTCATCATCATCATGTTTATAGTTAAAACAACTTGGACATAATATAGATAAAATAGAATTTATAGTTATGGGTGGAACATTTATGTCATTACCTGAAACTTATAGAGATTATTTTATTCGAAATCTACATGATGCTTGTTCCGGTCATACAAGTAGCAATATAACAGAAGCTGTCAAGTAAGTGTTATAATATATAATTCAAAAGAACAAAAAAACATATTTATTTTTAAATAGATATTCCGAATGTAGTAAAACAAAATGTATTGGTATTACAATTGAAACACGACCAGATTATTGTCTTAAAGCTCATTTAAGGTATAAAATTAAATTAATAGAAAAAATTGATTGATATGAAGTCTCTTTTGTCTAGTGATATGCTTACTTATGGATGTACACGTCTTGAAATTGGTGTTCAAAGTGTTTATGAAGATGTTGCTAGAGATACAAATAGGTTCGTTTTTTATACTTAATTGTATCGATTATGTAATAATTTTCTTTAGAGGTCATACAGTTAGAGCAGTAACAGAATCGTTTCGAATGTCAAAAGATTCCGGTTTCAAAGTTGTTTCGCACATGATGCCTAATTTACCAAATGTTGATCTTGAACGTGATATTGCTCAATTCAAAGTAATTTCTAAAACTATATCTTTCATTCAACATTTATTTCCGCGTTTTTTTCTCAAGGAATTCTTTGAAAATCCAGAGTTTCGTCCAGATGGTTTGAAACTTTATCCAACACTTGTTATTCGCGGCACTGGTATAACTTTTTTCTTTATTAAATTTTATAAAAATATAATTTTTTTGAATAGGTTTATATGAATTATGGCGAACAAATCGTTATGCTAGTTATTCTCCATCAGTTCTTATTGATTTAGTTGCTCGTATTCTTGCACTTGTTCCACCATGGACACGTGTTTATCGTGTTCAACGTGACATACCCATGCCACTTGTTACATCTGGTGTTGAACATGGTAATTTACGTGAACATGCTTTAGCTCGTATGCGTGATTTAAATTTGGAATGTCGAGATGTTCGTACACGTGAAGTTGGTATACAAGAAATTCATTTTAAAATAAAACCTGAACAAGTTGAATTGATAAGACGAGATTATGTTGCAAATGATGGTTGGGAAACATTTTTAGCATATGAAGATCCTGATCAAGATATATTAATTGGTTTATTACGTTTAAGAAAATGTACAAGTGAAACATTTCGACCAGAATTAAAACGAGGACAAGTATCAATTGTTAGAGAATTACATGTTTATGGTAGTGTTGTACCTGTACACGCCAAAGATCCATCAAAATTTCAACATCAGGTTTGAAAAATAAATTTAATTGAAGATATTTATATACGTGATATTTTCTGATAGGGTTATGGTATGTTACTAATGGAAGAAGCGGAACGAATCGCTTTAGAAGAACATGGTTCATGGAAAATTAGTGTTATATCAGGTGTTGGAACAAGAAATTATTATCGAAAATTAGGTTATGAACTTGATGGACCATATATGTCGAAAATTCTTGGTCCAGAACCGGTTTAAAACAGTGGCTGTTTTTTTTTCTTTCTTGTTTTTATACATACCGGTGTTTTTTTCTTTTAAAAACTTTTCTCATATGTGTTTTTTGTTGATTTATTCGTTAATGAACATAAAACTCGAAAAAAATTCATCTTTTGTTTTCATTTAACAACCAACTTATCATTGTTACCTATAGAAAGTAAGGAAAAGAATTATCGAATTATATCTTTCCTTCTTCTTCTTTTTTTTCTTCTTTTCTTCATCCATATATATATATATAGATAGATAGATATATATACATACATGTATATATACAAATCGGGACGAAGAAAAGATCCTCGTATATTTAGTCCACGTTTTCCTATGAACACATCAAGAAAAAAAAAAGGCGAAAAGAAATACGGAGACAAATATAGTTATGCCTCGTCATATAGTCTTTTCATACTATATACAAGAGTGGAGGCAAATAACTTTTACACATTCTTCTTTCGCTTATTTTCACATTAGACACTCTGTATTAAATTTACATTCTAATCGAATATATCAAGAATAAAATTTTATCTATCTATCTATATTCCGCGCCAAATTCTTTGATCATCATGTTCCTTTTTTGTTTTGTTTAACTACATGTCCATTGATTAATTGTTTTGATATATTTTTCTAGATATTTCCTATGTATAGTCAACAAAATAACAACGCCGAAGTGGATGATGATGGTCGAGGACCAATACGCCAACCGCAATACCAACAACGTTCACGAAATTTCTATCGTAAACGACCTGGTTAGTATAAAAATTTTATTTTGTTCTTAATTTTTATCTTGATATTTATGATAGGTAGTGGACGACAAAATCAAGACTTAGGTGAAGATGAATATCGAGCATCAAATGACGATGACACACAACGATCAAATAATTCTGATGATAATAACAATCAAGACAATGATAATATGAATAATTTTCGTGGTACTGATCAGTTTTGTATGAGATTTTGTTGCTAATTTTGTTTTTTTTTGTAATAGGTCGTGGACGTGGTGGTTTTCGAGGAGGCTTTCGACGTGGTCGTGGTAAAGAAAAAAAAAAGTTTATTTTAATTATTTTATGTAAAAAATTGTTCTATTATGTAGGCCGAGGACGTTTTAATCGTGGTGGACCATTCTATGGAAATTTTCGCCGACCTTTTTCACCTTATTCAAACTATATGAATGGACCCGGAGGTCACTTTGGACCACCATCACGTGGTGTGTAACATATATTTTATATTTCAATTTGTATTTATTTTTGTTTTATTTTATTAAAGGATTCTATGATGCACCATATCGTGGTCGTGGTGGATTTAACCAAGGAGATGGTTACAATCAAGGAGGTGGCTATAATCAAGGTGGTTATAATCAAGGTGGTTATAATCAAGGTGGTGATTTAGATGAACAAGAGAATTTCAATGATTATCCAGGACGTGGTTTCCGAGGCTTCCGTGGTGGTCGTGGACGCGGTCGTGGCCGTGGTCGGGGTCGTGGTTTTGGACGAGGAGGAAAAAATGAAGAGTTAGTTTCAAATCAAATCAAATCTTAAATTTTAATTGAATAATTTATTTTATTTAAGTGCTGATAATAATCAAGATGAAAATAATGCCGATCAACAACAAAGTGGTAATAATGAAAATAATACAAATAATACTAGACGTCGTAGTCACAATCGTAATCAACGCCGTAGACGGACAAATGATGAAGGTTCAGGCACCGAACAACAAAATGATGGGTAAAAGATTTTTAAATATTATTTTGTATTTTTATTAAATTAAAATTTTTTAAGTGCTGCTACTGATGATCAACAACAAGATGAAAATAAAGGTTCTGCTCGTCAACAACGTCCACGATCGAATCGTCGGTATGAATATTCAATTCATCTTTTATTTCATACTATTAATCTTTTCATACATTCTAAGACGAAATCGTAATACGAATGCAAGTCAAAGTGGTGCAGAAACTGAAGAACGTACGTAATTCTTCTTTAAAATTTATTGTATTATCTATAGACGAAGAATTCTTTTAGGACAACCTCCAAAACCTAAAGATGATGAAACAATAGTTAAAAACGTTGTTCGTAATATGGTTATTAAAGTAGCACGCCGTTTAGCACCAAGAAATCGTCGTCGTAGTCAAGCAAATAACAGAGAAGGTGGTACAAACAATGATAACCAACAAAATAACCAAGATAATGGTGATGTCGATCAATCACAACAACGATATCCAAGACGTGGTCGAGGTGGTTATCGTGGTGGTCGAGGCGGTTATTTTATGGATCAAGGTAAATCAGAATTTATTGAATTTTAATTTAAATTTTGCTCTTTTTTATTAGGTTACTATGATCCATATGCTATGTCATCTTATTATTACGGAGGATACTACGGTGGTTATGGTGGACGAGGATATCGTGGTCGTGGTAAGTTTATATTTTCAAAAGATTCAATTGTTAAGAAAAGAAATTTATTTTTTCTTTTGAAAGGTCGTGGCCGTGGTGGACGTGGCCGAGGACGTTTTCGTGGACGAGGTAAATTTAACTTTAGATTTAATTTATAAATAAATAAATCAATTTTCTTTTTTTAAGGAAATAATAAAGAAAATCAAGAACCTCAAGATGATCAACAAAATAACAGTGAAGAAAACAAAAACGGAGAATCAAATGCAGCCGGTGACGCACAGCGTCAACAAACTAAATCAACAGTAGATGAACAAGCTAATCAGTCATCAGCAACTGGTGATTCTAGACAACAATGAACGAGTTTCTTTTTCTTTTCGTTTCCCATTTTCCTAAACTTTTTGTTTCTGCGTTTGAGAATTAAAGCTTTGTTTCTTTTACTGACGTTGTTTCTTGCATCCATCTCTATTATTCAAACTATAAAAGTGTTCTTTGTTTTTTTTTCCGGTGTTATGTTTTAACTTTCTTTTTTTTCTTGCTGTGTACCTGTTTTTTGTTTTATTCTGTCTGCTATCATCTGTAGACAGTATTGAACTCAGCTATGACTTATATATGTGTGAGTGTGTATTTCTTTTTTTTCTCTTTCTCTCTCTCTTCTATTTCATGTGTATATGTTTGTCCATCTTTATTATCTATTTGATCATAAACGCACAACAGCCAAGAGTTTTCTTCTTCATTTTCTGTCTTTATGCGTTCTTTTGTCTCGTTTGAAATAAAACAAAAAAAACAGCAAAATTTCCAAGAAAAAAAAATATAACAATATGCATGAATGAAAAAGCTTTTATTTATTGTCTATGAAAAAAAAAACGATTAAGCGTAACAATGCCAGATAGGAAATAACAGAAGATTAAATGGAATTTAGTTTTGTTGTTATTAATACACGAACAGTTTGATCAAATGCGGATGTACAAGCTAAGCCAGGTTTATCAGGACTCCAATCAAATGCACTAGCTGGTTGAGTGGATAGACCAATATTTTGAAGAAGAGTTAACGTACCAGCTACGCCTACTTCAGTTTTATCAGTTTGAGTCTTAACACGATTTTCTGGATAATTACTAAAAGAATCAATTAGTTTTATCGGCTTTTAAACGTATTATGGACAAAAAGGACAGGAATTATTTTGACTTACTATTTCCATAGATAATATGAACCTGAACCACCACAAGTCATAAATACATCTCGATTTTGTGGTAAATGTCGTCCAATCCATACAGTTGAATTATGTGCCTTTAGCATAAATAAATAAAACTTAAATATTTCAAATTAATCTTTTACTTTTTCCACAACAGATGCAAAGCCTTTTTCAACATGTTGTGTTCTCATATCGAATACATGTATTTTACTTTCTAATGTTGTTGCAACAAGTTTATTCATTTCAATATCTTTTCTATCAAATTCCAAACAACATACCTAAATAAAAATCATTCAAATTTTTTTTTTAAATTTTAAATAATAATCTCACTCCATTTTTAATATTCGTTTCCCATCGAATAGACATTGTTCTCAGATCAAATAATTTTACATCTCCGTTATCATAACCAGCACAAACAACACGTTCACTTGAGTTAAATGAATTACCAAAACAAACTGCCCAACAATCGCGTTTAGTTTCACCTTCAGCTGGTTCCATACTGGCAACAGGAAGATCAGCTTGTCTTGTATCCCATATATGTACTCGACCTAGAAGAGACATTTTCACAATATAAATAAAAAAAATAAAATCAATAAATATACCATCTCGACTAGCAGTAGCAATTTCCGGTGCTCCTTCACCCACTCCTAATCCACCAATAGCATCAATAGCATTAATAATTTCCGTATGTCCCTTAACAGAATAAATTGGTTTTTCAAGTTTTTCCAAATCCCTAAAATAAATTTTATAAAAAAAATAATTTTCTTGTTTTTATTTTTACCAAACTTGAATGTAACCATCGAAATTTCCCGTAGCTAAATGTCGTCTTTCTCGAGATGGTGAAGCCCCAAAAGTTCCACATTTAAAAGCTGTAGGTTTTTCATGCTGAAAAAAAAGTAAATATTTAAATTTAATAAAATATTTTTTTTTTCAAAATATACTTGTGCAATAAGAGCAATATCTCCATGTGTTATTTCAAATATATCTAAAGCACCAGTTCCACGTGCATGATTACCAAGTGAAATAAATTTTGCTGATGTTGGTATCCATTTAACGTCAAAGACTGTATAATTAACTGATTTTTGACTATGTAAAATAATTTGAGGTTTATCCATATTGAAATGTAAAGAAAAGAAAAGAAAATGATGAATCGATATGATCGCTTGTTGTTATCGCCATACTTGACAACGATTTTGTTTGTTCGCTGTCAGATTCCATAGAATAAACTATGGATTGGTTTTGATTACTACTTGTTTTTCTTTTACTCATCACAGATTATTAATAAAATCATGGCGGTTGTAGTTGAACGTAATGTAACTGAATCAATTGATGATCTTGTTCGTGAAGCTGAATCATTAAAAACTCGACTCGAAGAAGAACGAGCTAAATTTAATGATATGGAATGTAAATCTTTGTATTTATTTTAAATTAAAAATTTTTTTCCTATTGTTCTGTTTTAGTAACAACTGTTGCAGATAAACTTGAATCATTACCACCATTTTCAACAAAATCACGACGAATGTTAAAAGGTCATCAAGGAAAAGTTTTAGCTATTGATTGGTCTAATGATAAACGACATATGGTTAGTACATCACAAGATGGAAAATTAATTGTTTGGGATGCATTTACAACAAATAAAGAAGTTAGTTTTTGTTTTAAGTCATAATAAAATCAAAATTTTACTCAATCATTTTTTTTTTCTTTCAAAGCATGCAATTACTATGCCAACGACATGGGTACTAGCATGTGCTTATTCACCATCAGCAACGACAGTTGCTTGCGGGTATATTTTCAAGAGACAAAAGAAAGATCAATAGCATCATTTTATTATATTTCTAGAGGATTAGATAATAAATTAACAATATATCCATTAAATAGTGATGATGATGCAAATAAACATAAGAAAGTTGTTGCAACACATGCTAATTATATATCATCATGCAAATTTATGCATTCCGATCAACAGGTAATACTAGTAGATCTTAACTTTAATGCAAATATCTTGAAAGCATAGACTTGTCTAATTTGATTTTCTAATAAATGACATTTTTGTTCTATTTTAGCTTTTAACAGCAAGTGGTGATAGTACCGCTAAATTATGGGATGTTGAAAGTAGTGTAGCAATTCAAACATTTCAAGGTCATCAAGCTGATGTTATGGGTATTGATATATCACCGTCCGAAGCTGGAAATACATTTGTATCTGGAGTAAATTAAATCAAAAAAAAATTTTTCTTAAGAAAAAAATGTGTTTTTTTTGTTATTTAGAGTTCTGATCATATAGCTATGGTTTGGGATATTCGTACAGGTGCATATGTTCAAACATTTGAAGGTCATGAATCTGATGTCAATGCTGTTCGATTTTATCCAAGTGGAGATGCATTTGTTTCAGCATCAGATGATGCAACTGTAAAAACTAAATAAATTCTTTTATCTCTAAAACCAATTTTACATTTAGTGTCGTCTTTTCGATTTACGTGCTGATCGACAAGTTGCTATATTTAAAAAAGAATCGATTATTTTTTCTTGTAATGCTGTCGATTTTTCGTTAAGTGGTAAGAACTATTTGACTATTGATTTTCTTTCATATATAATTCGAAAATTTAATTAGGTCGCCTTCTTTTTGGTGGTTACAGTGATTATTGTGTTAATGTTTGGGACACATTAAAAGGTTCACGTGTTGCTACTTTATATGGTCATGAAAATCGAGTTAGTTCATTGAAAGTATCTCCTGATGGTACTGCATTAGGTACTGGTTCTTGGGATTGTACAATACGAGTAAAGATTTTTTTGTCGAGATTTTATTGAAAATATCTTTTTTTGAATTCTATTAGGTATGGGCTTAATTATAAATAATACTTTTTATCAAGTCAATGGCAATGAAACAGCATTTATCTATTTATTATTTTTTTTGTTTATATATTTCTCTATGTATTTGCTTCGCTCAGACAAACGAAAATTCTAGTCAACGTTGTTTTGTATTCAATGTATTTATTTTGTATTTGTGTATACTTTAAAAAGCAATATTTATTTTAATAAATATAATTGTAAATGTATTTCATCGAAAAGAAAATCCATTGTTATCATAGAGTCATTACTTTACATTGAGATGAATATCTCTATTGTATTTTAACTCTATGATTAGTAATTAAATGAGACAATATAACAGTAAAAATCAATAATAATAATAATAATAATAATAAATGGCGATCGACAAGGAACTCCCGAGAAATATAATACTTCTGTCCTTCCCTCTCTCTCTTTCCTTTTTCTTTATTCACTATTGTTTCTGATGCTATGCATGCGTTCGATTGGGTGCACTTAAACGATATGAAGTAAAACTTTACAGAGAGAGAGGTCTGATACTTTTCTGATTGTTCGAGTATACACTAAGTAAAATGAAGAAACAGAAGATCTTAACAAGCGAATGAATATAAGTGCCTTCCTTCGGTTACATTAGACAATTTATTCTTGTAAATTGAATGAGTTTATTAGCAAGAAAAAAAAAAAGAAAGAAGAATCTTTTGTTAAAATAGAAGAAAGTATAATTAACATACCTCTCCTTTCTTCTATGAAGCTATCTATAACACAGAGAAAAACACACAGATTATATTATAAATGTTCTATTTTCAGTCCAGGTAGGATAAAAAAAAAGAAAAGCTTGATATTTATTCATCAGAAACTAGTTTTAATGAGGTATATTAAACAGTCTATTTTTTAATTTAATACCAAAAATAAAGAAGAATAAGAAGGAGGAGGAGGAAAAGCTGCTAACATAAATTTCTTTTATATCATTGATCTATTTACTACATAACTTTTGCAAAGAAATCTAATTGAATTTGTAGTTGTTCTTAGGCAAATTTTTTTATTTCATTCTTAAACTACAAAGAAATTATGCCGTTATTTTCTCTCCAGAAACACACGCAATATTATCATCTTAATGTGTATGAAAAGTTTTGATTATTTTGTTTGACCCATGGGACAATATGTAGTTACTAGTTTCTATCTACTTGCTTAGAGCCGTTTTCGCATGAGAGTAATAAATCCACGACATATGTCATTCCTTTTTGACGACTTATTTGATCAACTTCACATCTATCGATCCAAAGATGAATCAAGTCTATAAAGAAAAAGAATATTTAAAAAGACAGAAGTTGACAGATGATGTTGTAAGATAATATGTAAGTATATTAATAAGGGGAAACAAACAAGAAAAATTTCTCTATTTTTTTTTCTTCTAATATTTAGACTAAAAACTAACTCAATGATCATTCAGTATAGATATAATTCTTCTCGACAGAATACATGAAACTCTAAATAGATTATCTTAGTTCAATCAACTAGGATCGAGAATGAATTGAATTTGACACACTCTTCTAGATATACTTAATCTAACTAATAACAAATGAAAATAACTTATCACAAATGTTTTGCTAATATGAACTTTTCACATTATACTTGTGTTATAATGAAATACAGTTTTTCTTATTTATTTCTTTTTTGTTTTGTTTTTCTATTATTAAATTAATAGGAGATAAAAAATCTTGAAATAATATATTCTAGAGTGAAGAAATAACGAACATACTGGAACGAATAACCTTCAAAAAAAAATAGTAATCACATTGTAGAAGCTCTATAAGATCTATTGAAGCATATTTCCTTTCTCTCTCCCCCTCCTGTCTCTCTCTCTCTCTGTCTCATTTTTCTTATATTTCCCTTCGTATTTATTTGGTAGTCATTCATTCCTTAAAAACAATATGTTAACAATGTTATTCACATTTATAGACAAAAAAAAAACTACATCATAACAATATAAAGTAAGTAAGACAATATCCTTTAATTATTGATAAATACAGAGATATATCTATATAATTGGTTAATATCAAAAGACAAAGTATTCTAACGATTCTAATTAACACTTTAGTTTTAAGTGAGTTTTACGATAGATTAGATTGGTCGTCTTCTATGTAATTATTGAATGAATAGAGGCCATACGGGCATAAAGTGATTTTTTTCCCTCTATTTCCTATTCTTGTTTTTCCTTTCTAAATCAATGCTTCTTTTATATATATATATTGTATTCATTTGTCTAAAAATATAATTAATAAAAAAAATGAAGCGTTAATACATATATACATGTCAAACAACAAGGCTATAGATAGATTACTTCTCTTTTATTAAAGAATTAATATTAATAGCGGAACATAGATTTTTTGGTTATCTTGTAATCTTAAGATTAATTTGAACGACATATATCATTTTCTGTTTTTTTTTCTAGATTAGTAAATTAATAATGAAATTTTTATTTTAATTTAAAAAATATAAATATTTGATTTAATGAATGGGTGACGATTTATTTCTGTGTATTGCATCATGTCAAAATCCGAATAATAGTGGTGCACTTGTTGGAAATGATTCTTATGATCTTGAATGTATAAATCAATGTTCACAACGTCATACAACATTATATCAACATACAGCAGAGAAGTATATAAAAACAATATATTAATTAAAAAATCACACATTAGAATCATGTGGGAATAGAAGAAAACCATTGTTTATACATATATATTTTTGTTTTTGATAATAGTATTAACTGAGATTTTATTTTTAGTAAATATACTCATCTATTGAGAAACAAAATAGACAAGAATATTTTTTTTAAAGATGTTTAAGATCAAAACAAAAAAATCTGATATATTTCAATGAATTCATAAATAAATAATATGTCAAATGTTTATAAAATAAGAATATAATCTTAACAGAAAGAAAGGAAAACAACTAAGATATTTGAGAAGAAAATTATTTTCTATATGACTATGACATAGTGAATATTTAACAAAGATAAGTTGTTTTGTTCTGACAAAAAAAAAGATCAACATCATTTATATGCGCATAAATACATGATCAGATGAAATAATATCAAAACTGTCATACAACATTGTATTCAATAAACTAAATAACAAGAAAAAAAAGTATTTTATTACTTAGTTATCTATTGTATGTTGACAGTAAAAATGAAAATATAATTAATCGATAACTCTCGAAACAAAACAAAAAAATAACATTATCTAAAATGAATATATTATACATAATTCTATAATTTGATCTGAGAAAAACACATAGTAGATTATATTTCATATTATTTTGTACTTGTTCATTTTAATTTTTACTCATATTTAATGAATATATCTTATTAGATATGAACAAATTCTTCAAATAATATCTGTTGTTTTTATTACATTTGGTTTAATTGGTAAAGTTTTCAATTGTATTATTTTTTTTACGTAAACCGGTTTGTATTTATTCTATTTGAAAATATATATAATTCTATTTTTTTTTTTCTCAAATTTTAGCTCCGTGGTACATCAACTGGTTTACTTTTATTATTAAAAACAATTTTTGATTTTGTTCCACTTCTATGGACATTTATATTTGATACAAAATTTTTTGTTAAAGATGAACAACTTAATGCATCAAGTTTAATATGTGTTTTATCACGTAGTAGTGATATATTTGTTTCATGGTCAATTGGTTTCGTTATTCTTGCTTGTACAATACGTCTTGCAACAATAATACATTCAAGATTTCTACCAGAACCAACACGTTGTCTTGTATTTATATTAATTTTATTAATGATGTTTTGCGGTGTTCTATATAATTGGCATGTTTTTTATTATCCAAATTTAGTTACAACAACATTAAATGATGATCAAAATAGTACATTTACATATTGTAATATATTATTCGGACGTCAAATGGGCTATTTTTCTTTTGGCGGTTTTCAATCGATGGGAGAATTTTTATACAACGCTCCAATAGTTAATTTTATTGTTTCATCATTAATTCCATTTGCCATCGTTGCATTTACAAATATTGTTATTATTGTACGTGTATTAAAAGATCCATCACCAAATCGTCTATCAAGAATAAATTCATTTCATAATGGTAACTATCATTCACTATCGAAAGATATTAATTCTACAACAACAACAAATCCAGTACATACATCATTAACAAATATGACAACACATATAACAAAGAAAGATGTTAGTTATGAAACAACAATAACATTAACAACAAGTTGTGTATTTTTAACAACAAATAGTATTGCAAGTACATATGTTTATGTTAAATCAAGTTATCGTTCAGAACGTTCACGTTTAACTGAAGATATAAAAACATCGAATGTTTATCTTATATTACGTATGTTAACATTAATTGATACAGTTTTAGAATTTTATATTTATTTTTTAACGGGAAAAAAATTTCGTCAAGAAGTTTATCAAGTTATAAGTGAAATTTTTCAACATACACCATGTAGAAAATATTTTCAATCGACATGTTCAACAACGAATCATGAAGATAATGGACAACAAGAAAAAAATGATTCGGAAAAACAACAACAACAAATAACTTTAAATAAAAATCTTCATTCAAATTATTTAACATCAACACCAACAACTATATCAGCTGGTAGTAGTTATATTGAATTACCACAAAAACCCAAACTAAAAAATTCTCAATGGCGTGATACAGAAGAAACACTTGATAGAATTGAAAGTACTGTGTAATTGATGTTTTTATCATTAATATTTTTGTTAATATATATTTCTTATATTGCTAGAAAGAAAGAATATTAATCTGATATATAATTTTGTTTTGTTAGTTTTATATTTCTAAAACAGGCAGAAAAACAATTGAAAATGCTTTTCATTTTATATAAATATAGGTTAGATTAACAAGTGCCTAAAGTTGTTCCTATGTTTTAAACATTAAATATTGATGGATTAGTTTCTAGCATTTGAATTACATATTTTCTTTGAACATAATGATATAATTACAAACATGTAGATCGGTCAGATATTTTGTCATTAAGAAAATACTACTAGTACTTTTTACGTTTATTTTTATGAAGATATATTAACGTATAAAACCGAAGTGATTTTTTGGTTATGACTGATAACTAATTAATGAAATACAGAAACTTTAGATTCTCTATAGGATCATGCTATAAGAGTAAAAAATATCTTTCTTCTTAAGAGATATTTAGTCTTCAACGACAACAAACGAAGTGCACATCGTAAACAATAATTGTCTGCATGTAATCATTATAATCAAGTATATATTAGCTTAACATATGATAAATCAATTCATCCATGATATAAGTACTTGTGCATTTTTAACAGATAATGATGTATGTCAGACTGCCATGACCGAATATTTCTCTAATCAAATATGTCGGCACATAATTCTCAAGAGGCTATCAATAAATAGTTTGACGTATATATATTAATACTATAAAAAAATCATGTTATATACACAAATAAATAAAATCTTTAGAGGAAAATACGACTTTGCAATTAGTACAACGATAGCTACTTTTCGAAGGTCATTATATAAAGTTATAATTTAACAGATATTCAAAAAATAGGAAAACATTAGTGAATCCAGTTATGACTAGGGATGGCACTTAACCTTTACTTTATTTTGTCCGCTGAAGTTCTCTATTGAACTTTACCGGATAGAGTAAAATAAAATGGACTACTTTAATTTACTCTACCCGATAAAGTAAGTTACTTTACTTTTTTAAAATAAAATAAAGTTAAAGTACCACCCCTAGTTACAATCTAAAGAGTAATTGATGATGAGAGTATGACAACTAAATTGTCTAGGTTTAAAATTTTGTTTTCTATAAAAGAGACATTAAAATAATCGAAAAAAGAACGAATCTATTTTTAGAAGAGCCCTGATAAAATATCTCTTGAATATTTACAGAAACTATATCGCAGGTAAATTTAATTTAATGTCATGAAGTAATTAATGATGACATCGTTCCATGACATTCATTGCAAAAAATATTTTTTCCTGTCCTTATAGTGTTAACTTACAATTCTTCTTCTTCATATAATCTCAAATTCTGAGCAACATCTGTCAGTAAATATCATGTAGTGAATCAATAATTTCTATTAATTTCCTTACAATACAATATCATGAAATTGTAATAAATATCTGACTATCTTGTATCATGATTGCTAATATGCCTGCTATTATCATACTCAAAAAAATCACTATATATAGTTATTCTAAGAACTCTTTTTCTTTATCATCATTTCATTGAATGGTACTTCACATGCAAAGTAGAAGCTACTCTATTTTTTGATCATTTTTTGTATCTATCTTTTTATTCTAATTCTACATTTTCCAGATATCATACATAATTTGTTCAAATCATCTTGAGTACAACTATATTAGAAACCGTATTATTGTATTGAATCGATATCATAATTGACATTCGTAGTAAATAAATATCTGTTAGTCTATTTTTTTTTCATTTGTAATTTTATGCACATGTAGTTTCATTATGATAAATACGATATCTATGATTTCATGTTTCAACATTTAAATATAAAATGGTTTTCTATCAACTGTGGATAAATTAGGATGATTTATCATTTGTTTCTCTCTTGTAGTAATGTGAAAATCTTAATAAATTTTCATTTAGACTCTACGAAATATATATCAAATGCGCTTCTTTGTATACTCATATTTATTATCGTACATGGTTTAAAAAAATAACTATTTTTAAGATCAGTCACAATCCGAGAATATAATTTGTGTTCCTGAACTGTTTCTATATCTTGAATGGATTGTCAAATGCAAAATTGGCTACTACTTGCTAACATTTCTAGAACGATTGGTTATTTTCAAAATCCATGGCAGATGTGAAAGGTTAGATTTAAGACTCTGCGATTTTTCACTATCAATCGAATTGAAATGAATCTCTGGTCAGATGTTTTTAATCATATTCGATCTGTAACTTTTGCCTTAATTATTGATTTTCTCAGCAGCAAGTTGCTCTAATCCATTGGATTTTTATTCGACAAAATATTGTTAATGTTTTTCTGACATTAATCACGGTTATATTCAAGTATTTTGACGCAAAACATCGATCTGTAATGGAATGGCGTTAATTAATCAGCTGATATAATTCATTAGTCAAAACATCTTGATATTTATTTACATGACATTTTTATTGCAACAATGACATGATGTACAAGATGTTCGTTTGCATTTAGAGATCGCACATATACATAATATCATACAAAAATGGAATGTTAGTGGAATTTTAAGTTTACTTGCGTAAAGAATTTATAATTAACATATCCTCATCTTAAATGAACCATGTATTAAATCTTAATGTTCACATTTGTTAGTCACCTCAAGTGGTTCTATCTCTAGTCAGGGCGACACGCTATAATCAATCTAGTTGTTTGTAATTTTAAATTTATTAATAGAGTGCTTTGTTTTATTGATACATATGCATAGCTTTTTTCTTTTAATTTGCAATACCAATGAATATCAAAATATTCTTTTGCTTCTAGTTCTTTCTCAAGAAAAAATCTATATCATTATAAATAAGAGAAATTACTCTCTCTCTCTCATGACCGAAAATAATCTCGAATGTTTCTTTCTCTTTTCTTCTTCCTTTCTATTTGGTTATTACCACTATATAAATACAAATAAGGGTTACGGGGTAATGAAGGGCAGTTAAGCGTTAATCATTTCTTTTTCTTTTTAGATATTTTATTACCAATTTTAATAATTAAAATTGCACTCGAACAAAAAATACTTTCGATTTGAAAATAGATACTTTTAATTAAATTAAAAAACTTATTTCAATAGAAAAAACAATATTTAATTTGATTACAGTAAACTTTTACTAATCATCCAGCGCTATCTATTTCTATTGTCATGTCAAATATTCATTGGATATATTTAATTATTTTTTAAATTGTCGCTACTTTCACTAGTAAAAATCTATTATACATAGCGCTCTTATGATGACATCTTGCGCTAGTAGTATTTCTGCCACGATAGAAGGAGTTCAATTAATGTCAGTTAACTCATCATCATTAATAAACAGACGGCAGTATAGAGGAAAGAACAGAAAAAAAAGCAAGATGGGAGAACAAGTTTTTCGTGTGTGGGTGGTGTTGCACTTTTGTTTTTCTTGATTATATTTCATTTACTTTTAATTCTTCTAGATGATAGTCAACAAATAGAAATAATATAATATAATTGATTATCATGTCTGACGAAGCAAATACAATGATTTCAAATGAAGATAATGGAAATAAAAAATCGAAAGTAAGAAATAAAATTTATATATATATTGATCTATAAAATTTTAATTAGGACCAGAAATCCTCCAAAGATGTTTGTGAGGAATTTGGAATTGATTATGTTCCAATGAAATATTCTGATAGTGATTATGTTAATTTATCAACTTTTAAATTATTTTCCCAAACTATACGTCCAATTATTCATTCAAATTATCCAAAATTAGCAACACAAAAAAACGATGACATTAATGGCGGCATATTGGCGTGAATTTCTTGAAATAAAAAGTTCTCAAACATTCTCGAATAATACTTTAACGGAATCAAATAATGATCAAGAAGGAAATGATCGTATGGAAACTGATGAAACACATTCTACTACAACAACATCAACAAATCGTTCTCGTCGACGTCGAGCTATTATACAAGAAGAAATCGATCATGATGATGCTGTTGAACAACAACAACAAGATGATGATGATAATAATTCACCGGTAACTAATTCTTCATCACGTAAAAGTACAAGTACAAATAAAAAAATTCCATCATTAAAAATAAAATTACAAAAAGATCAAACAAGTGCATTAACAGCTAAAGAACATATGAGCACATCATTAGGTAATGATGAAGATGAAGTAAAACCAACAAAAAAATCTAGTCGACAACGTAAACGTAAACGACGTGATGATGAAGATCCATCAAATGAATCCGATGCAGAATTTGAAGCTATGCTTGTACAAAGTGAAATTAATGAAGAAGAAGAAGTACCAAAGAAAAAACGTGTTAAAAAACCACCTAAACCTCCAAAACGTATTGCACGTTTAAATAATCGTCGACAACAACAAGCAGCTGCAGCAGCAGCAGTCGAAGAAGTTGCTAATATTCCACTTGAACAAGGTGGTTATGAAACTGATCATCAAGATTATTGTGAAGTTTGTCAACAAGGTGGAGAAATTATTCTTTGTGATACGTGTCCAAAAGCTTATCATCTTGTTTGTCTTGATCCTGAACTTGAACAAGCACCTGAAGGTGATTGGTCATGTCCTGAATGTACAAAGAATGGTATTAGTATTCAAGCAAGACAAGCTGCTGCTGCTACAGCTGCCCGACAAGCTAAAGAAGAAGAAGATAATCATATGGAATATTGTCGAGTTTGTCGTGATGGAGGAGAATTATTATGTTGTGATCGATGTCCATCTTCATATCATATGCATTGTTTAATTCCACCGATGACAGTTATTCCAGATGATGATTGGTTTTGTCCACGATGTACTGTAAGTATTTATTCTTTTACATATGACAAAAAAAAGCAAATTTCTTTGTCTTTCAAGATTGAACCACCACCATATACTGTCAAAAAAAATGATTACATGGCGTTGGATAATTCATCCAGATTCTCATTCAACAGTAACAAGTGATACAACAACATCCGAAACAACAAAATTAGATGAAAATGGTGAAACAGCTACAACAACTAAAACAATTGTTGAAAAACATACTATAAAAACAACAACTGCCGTTGATACTGTACCACCAGCTGACGGAGCAGATACTGGTGCTGATGTTAAACAACGTCTTATTCCAACATTAGATCCAACTTTACCACCAGGTGTAATACAGGGTCCATTGAAAACTCGAGAATTATTTGTTAAATATGATGGTTTATCATATTGGACATGTGAATGGTTACCTGAATTACAAGTTGAAGTACATCAATCATCATTATGGCGTTGTTATATAAAAAAAATTAGTGATGCTAAACAACCACAACCAACAATTGATGCTGATGGTGAAATTGAAGAAGATGAAGAAGTATCAAGACGTTATTATAATCCTAAATTAGAACAAAGATATTATAAAAATGGTGTACGACCGGAATGGCTTTGTGTACATCGAATAATAAATCATCAAAAAGAAAAAGGTACACCAATGTATTATTTAGTTAAATGGAGAGAATTAGGTTATGATCAAGCAACATGGGAACTTGAAAAAGATGGAGAATATACACATGAAATTGAAAATTGGCAACAACATATTGATAATTATTGGAAATTAAGGTAAAGAAATTGACTTTTTTTTTATTTTGAAATAAAAAAAATAATTTTGTTCTTAGAAATGGTTCTGATGCTGAAGAGAAGAAAAAGAAAAAACCAGTTTCATCGAAAACAACACGTCGTTCAAATCGTGAACTTGAAGAAGCTCGTTCAGTTGATGCAAATGGAGATTCAGGTGATGAATATGAACGTTCAGGAAAATATCCACCACCACGTAAACGTTATGAAAAACAACCTGATTTTGTTGATGTCACTGGTGGTACACTTCATCCATATCAATTAGAAGGTTTAAATTGGTTACGTTTTTCATTTTCACAAAATACGGATGTTATTCTTGCTGATGAAATGGGTCTAGGAAAAAACCATTCAGACTATTGTCTTTCTACAAGCTTTACTAAAAGAAGGTCTTTCACGTGGACCATTTCTAATTAGTGCACCATTAGCAACTATTATTAATTGGGAAAGAGAATTTGAATATTGGGCACCAGATATGTATGTTGTTACTTATACTGGAGATAAAGAAGCAAGATCAGTTATTCGCAGAAATGAATTTTCATTTGAAGATGATGCAATTCGTGCTGGTCCACGTGCAAGTAAAATTCGTAGTGGTGCCAAAGTTAAATTTCATGCATTATTAACTTCATATGAATTAGTTAGTGTTGATTCAGCAACATTAAATTCAGTTGATTGGTCTGTTTTAGTTATTGATGAAGCACATCGTTTAAAAAATAATCAATCAAGATTTTTTCGAACATTATTTGAATTTAGTATTGGTTATAAAGTTCTTCTTACTGGTACACCATTACAAAATAATCTTGAAGAACTTTATCATTTATTAAACTTTTTAAAACCAGATAAATTTAGTGATATGGATGGTTTTCTTAAAGAATTTAGTGATCTAGCTAAAGATGAACAAGTTGCTAAATTACATGACATCTTAGGTTCACATATGTTACGTCGTTTAAAAGCTGATGTTTTAAAAAATATGCCAACTAAATCGGAATTTATTGTACGTGTTGAATTAAGTCCTGTGCAAAAGAAATATTATCGTGCTATATTAACGAAAAATTTTGATGCTTTAAATGTCAAAGGTGGTGGTGGACAAGTTTCATTATTAAATATAGTTATGGAATTAAAAAAATGTTCCAATCATCCATATTTATTACCTGCTGGACAGTTTGAAGCACCACGTACAGCAAATTTAGCTTATGAAGGTACAGCATTAACAAAAGCAAGTGGAAAATTAGATTTATTAGCTAAAATGTTAAAAATATTAAAAGAACAAGGACATCGTGTTTTAATCTTTTCACAAATGACAAGAATGTTAGATATATTAGAAGATTTTCTTGAATATTATGGTTATAAATATGAACGTATGGATGGTAAAACAGGTGGTTCAGATAGACAAGATGCAATTGATCGTTTTAATGCGCCAGGTGCCGAACAATTTTGCTTTTTACTTTCAACACGTTCCGGTGGTCTCGGAATTAATTTAGCTACAGCTGATACAGTTATTATTTATGACAGTGATTGGAATCCACATAATGATATTCAAGCTCTTTCACGTGCACATCGTATTGGTCAACAAAATAAAGTAATGATATATCGTTTTGTTACTCGTGATTCCGTCGAAGAACGTATAACACAAGTTGCTAAGAAAAAAATGATGTTAACACATTTAGTTGTTCGACCAGGTGCTGGCCGTGGTACAAATATGAGTAAAAAAGAATTAGATGATATCTTACGTTTTGGTACTGAAGATTTATTTAAAGATGAAGATGAAGTTGTAGGAAATGGTGAAGGTGGTGGTGGTGAAGCTGCTAGTAGTGCAAGAATTCATTATGATGATCAAGCTATTGAAAGATTACTTGATCGTTCACAAGAAGGCATACAAGAGAAAGAAGAAGGTCTTAATGAATATTTATCAAGTTTTAAAGTTGCATCCTATGGTACACGTGAAGGAAATGATGAAGATGAAGAAGATATACGTGAACAACCAGCAACAACAACAGTTGATGAAAATCTTGATCAATACTATTGGGATAGATTATTACGTGTACAATTTGAACAAGATCGTGAATTAGAAAGTCATGCATATGGAAAAGGTAAACGTACAAGACGTCAACTTAATTATGCTGTACCAAATAATGATGAAAATTGGAATGAACATAATTCAGATATAGCCAGTGAATATGAAGCACCATCAGCTGGTGGTGGTGAAGATGAAGATGGTGATTTTGATGGCACATATAATCAAGGACGTAAATCAGGACGTGAACGTCCATTACCACCATTAATATCTAAATCAGGTACAAATATTGAAATCTTAGGTTTTAATCCACGACAACGTAAAGCATTTTTAAATGCAATTATGCGTTTTGGTATACCACCACCTGATGCATTTAAATCTCAATGGTTAGTTAGAGATTTACGTTGTAAAACCGAAAAAGAATTTCGTGCATATGTTTCATTATTTATGAAACATTTATGTGAAAATGTTACAGATAATGCAGATACATTTTCTGATGGTGTACCACGAGAAGGTCTATCTCGACATCATGTTCTATCACGTATTGGTATAATGTCATTAATACGAAAGAAAGTTCAAGAATTTGAAAATATTAATGGATTATGGTCGATATCTGAACAAGTTCCAAATGATATAAAGGATGAATCAGATGATGTAAAATCATCAACAACAATAAATAAAACAGCAAGTAGTACAAGTGTTGCATCAAGTGAAAATACAACAAATATTCAAGCTTCTGAATCTATTGAACAGGCAACAAGTGGTACACCATTAAATGAAATATTAGCTAGTGGATCAAGTAATAATTTAATTGGTGAATCAATGAGTTTAAGTGATTTAATTCCTATTAAAAATGAAATAAGTAATGATGTAGAAATGAAAGATACTGAAGACAATAAATCAAATAATGAAAAACAAACTATTGACGAGAAACCAGATATAGCTGAATTAAATGTCAATACATCACAAAAAGAATCTTCGAAATCATCAACACATCGTAAATCGAATTATGTTCGTAATGATAAATTAAAAGATTATAAATTTATGTTTAATATTGCTGATGGTGGTTTCACTGAACTTCATTCATTATGGTTAAATGAACAACGTGCATTAGTACCAAATCATGAACAAGAAATTTGGCATCGTCGTCATGATTATTGGTTATTAGCTGGTATTGTAACACATGGTTATTCACGTTGGCAAGATATACAATTAGATCCGAAATTTACGATTATAAATGAACCATTTAAAATGGATGTGGGAAAAGGAAATTTTCTTGAAATGAAAAATAAATTTTTAGCACGTCGTTTTAAATTATTAGAACAAGCACTTGTTATTGAAGAACAATTACGTCGTGCAGCTTTCTTAGGTTTAGCTATGGAACAAACAAATCCTGCATTAACATTATCACAACGTTTTAGTGAAGTTGAATGTTTAGCTGAATGTCATCAACATCTATCAAAAGAATCATTAACTGGAAATAAACCGGCTAATGCTGTACTTAATAAAGTTCTTACACAATTAGAAGAACTATTAAATGATATGAAACAAGAAATCAATAAATTACCAGCTACATTAGCAAGATTACCACCAGTATCACAAAGACTTAATATGTCAGAACGAAGTATACTTTCACGTTTACCTAATGGTCAAAATCAACAATCATCAACAACAGTAACAAATGGAAATGGTCATGCTTATGCAAATTATTCGAATTTTATTGGACCATTTGCATTACCCGCTGGTGGTGGAACTAATAATACTAATAAACCAAGTAAATATTTACTTGAAATAATTCGATATATTCATTTATTTATCTTTTAGCTTCTTCATCATCTACTACATCTGTCGATTCGTCATCAACTCGAATGAAATCTTCAACATCTAGTAATAATATATCTTAAACCGAAGAAAAAAAAGAAAGAAACATTTTGAAATGATCTGACCAATTAAAATGCATTGTTTTTGTTTTGTTTTTTCTTTTTTTTCATTTTTTATTTCAAACAATGTTGTATTTACATTTTGTTTTTTGTTTGTCAGTACTTATATACATGTATCTGTGTATGTATATGTTTATGAAAAAACAACAAAATAACTTGTATACTTTTTCTTTTTTTCCTTATTTACGTTTATTTAGTTGCTACATGTTTTTTTCCTTCTCTTTCATGTGTGTTAAGAAAACATTTGCACATAGAAAAATCCGGCAAAATCTATAGATATGAAAGATTAATTTAGAAATATTTAATCATAGATAAACAAAATTTTTTTTGCTTTCAGCTTTTATTAATTTAAATTTGTTGATGTTTAATAGATTTTAATTCTTTTTCGTTTCCTTTTTTTTTAATAGATCCATATTAAAAAAATTAAACATTCGATTAATCGAGATGTTAATAAATATTCGAAAATTCATATATATATATACCAGAAATTCTTCTTTGTTTTATCTTCATTCTCAACATGAGATTGATGTCATAGTATAGTAAGAACAAGAAAAATCTGGAATAAATGTTCAGAAGAATATTATATTGTTCTTCTTCTTTCTCGTGTCATCTTCAAATGTTATATTTTTATCACGTATTATCTATCATGAACATATGATATTGCTTTAATAAATCCTTTAACCTTAAAGAATGACTATTTAGTCAATAAATGTTCCTATTAGTTCATATATAACACCCACACCCACCCTCAAGTAAGCAATGAAGCATTATGTAGTACTCATTCAAATTCTATCTGCAACAATGAACAAACTGCTTAGTTATATTATAACGGATCTTACTAAATATGATTATATAAAGTTGAACATTTGTTATATTACGTACACATTAAAAATTAATTTATTGGAATTTGAATATGTGTTATTTCATTAATCAAATAGAATATTCTTGTTTATTCAAGTATAAATTTACTCCTACACACTTTTCTTTATGAATAAAATATAAATAGCTAATTATTTATTTCGCTCAGTCAATTCTTTGACATTTTGTTTGTTTTTTATTTGTAAATAAATATTCAAAAAAAGAAAAAGCATCGAATTATTTCATCATACAATGCGTAACATCAAGAAAAATAGTTTTAACCATATTTAAATGGATTTACTTGATTTACATATTCTTCTTTATAAATGTTTCCTAAATAAATGAAATGAATACTTATTTATTTTAATAGAGGAAAGAAAAGCTAACTAACCAAAACCACAAAGAGTTGATGTTAATGGGACTGGTCGAAATTGTAAACGATAATCGCATAAAGGAGAATTACGTCTATTTAACCATGGATTAGAATTTGTTGATCGTTTCATATCAATTTGTTTCTTAAAATAATTCATATGATTATTTGCTTGTTCATCATCCGTTTGATATACATATGGAAAGGGCATAGCAAATGTACTAAGTATCATAAACATTCCCAAGAGTAACATTAAAATACTCGATAAATACATATTTTTCAAATTAATTGTTTCTATAGTACTGCTATTTGCATAAAATGAATTGATTTTCTATCTCTCTGTCTGTCTGTATGTATATATATATAGAAAATTTCTTATGTGTAGGTGTTTATCTCCTAAAATAATCAAGTTTTGATTGAGATGACATGTACAATTTTATTCTTTTTTGTTTCAGATTTTTTTATCACATGATTTGTCTGCTATTTGACATACACACAATCAGTATGTCACTTAGATTTATTAAAAAGCAGAAAAAAAAGTGAATATTTCCATTTTTTTATTGTTAATTATATTTATCCCCATCGCATAAGCTTATCTCCTGAAGATTTTTCTTCTGATGCTCCACTTGGTTTCATATGTTGATAAGTTGATGCACGAAACCATGAATTACGAATTGTACGAGGATTAAACGCTGATGATCGTTGAATACGAGGATAACTTAAATATTTTGGATAGATCATTAATTGTATATCATTGTCTTCGTTGCTGTCATATGTATCATAATATAAATTATTCCTTTTTTGATAAGAAACAGCAGATGATACCGGACGATATAATGCTGAACTTGAGATAAATAAAAAGAATGAAAGAAGAAGACCGAATGAAAAATAAAATGACGATGACATCTTAATAAGAAAAATAAAACTTTTGCTTTTTAATATAAAAATATAATTACATACATATAATAGAATTATTAAAAAAAAGTTACCTTGTAAAATATTCTCTCTCTTTTTCTTATTTTACTTTATATTGAGAATTTGTTTAGAAATGAATGATTATATTACTAGGATATGATTAATATAGAATGATATTTATTTTCACTTTATTCTCACATAAATACTTCTCTTCTCTATTGAACTGTTTGTCGTAATTTGACACATGATTTTTTTTCTCTATAATTTCATGATTTCCCATTGGAATTTTTCTCTCTAGTTCCATAAGGTATTCAATCAACTCAAACCCCATCTTTTCGATTTATTCCGAATTCTAAATGTTCAATTCTATACCGCAAAATAAAAATAAGTAGTAGGGTTGAATAAATCAAAGCTAATTTAGACTTTTGATATATCAGTATAAATTAATGTATTCGTACAGGATAAATCTAATTCTTCTCAATTATATTATATTGATTAATAGAAGACTTTAATACTTAGTAGATTCAAATATAGTCATAGGATATACTAATGAATTCCGTTGAGAAGTGTTCTTATTAAATATTGTACATTTTTTTTTGTAAGTCCCTATAGAGAATAAATATTCTAATTAAGTCTATGCTTCGATATGCTGGAATATTAAATATTCGATATTATGATTAACTATAGGAAAATTTCAAATTTTATTTTTTTGTCATGAAAAATAAATCAAACTTACCGATATGTTGTAAAATTTGATTAAACAGAAATGGACTAGTTAATTTAACACAAGGATATTGTATAAAAACAAACAATTATATGATATATAATCTATAATGTAATATTATTTATACTGGTATAAAGAATTAACTACAAATGACGATGGTTTTCAGAATATGCTCAATATGTTACGCGATGGATTATATCGCATGAAGGAGTGTAAGTATAGTGCGTCATTAGCAGTTTCTTTAAGCTTAGCAATGAACGTGTATATTTAGAAAAAGAGAAATTTTAATATCTTCCTACTCTGTACTCCTGGCATATGAATATAATTGCGTAAGAAAATAAAACATCCGATTAAAAGTCTAATATGGATTTTTGAAGCTAAGCTAGAAGCTTTACCTGAAAGATAATATTTTCCAAGATTTATTTAAGAAAATTATGAGATAAATAATCTCAAACTCTCTATACTTTTATATTCCTTCAAAATGCGTGTTTCTTAGTTCTCTAGTTATTTCTAATGGTAAATTAAATCGCGCATATACACTTACAATGTCCTTAAACGTTTATGCAACGAATTAGAAATAAAAGACTGATTTTATGAGGCATAGAATTCTTACTAACTATTGGACATTGTGATGCATGAAATAACTCGTTCTATTATCTGAACACTTTAATAGCACTTAATGGGCGTATTTATATAAAAAAAATATATAACAGGAAAGCTTTTAACGTCTTTTATTTAAATGTTGACTACGATTCCTCCTACGTTTAATATTTCATCTTAGAAAAAATTTGTATGTTGACTTACAAACATTATATTGTTGTGTTTTTTTTAAAGTGAATAGACTTTTGAAAACTCTCTTGTTGGCATATAAATTAAAAAGTAATAGAAAATAGAAGTAGGAATGTCCTTTAAAAATAATTATCTGACAAGAACAGTCTGAATCGTGTTTTTCTAATTAAAATTTGTTCTATATTAATATCGACTAAGTCGAATTGCTACTACTCGTGTCTCTTTGACATGAAAGTTTACATCTTTTATTAACTTTGAATTATAATCTTTAATTTTCTTTTTTTCTTAAAATAAAATAACAACAATATTAGCATTCCTTTTTGTTTGAATTGTTGAAGAGTAATGTTGAGATTTTCTTTTCTATTTATATTCTTTGTTACTGCATGTACATGTTGTATGATATATACATATATATGTAATCTTTTGCTTGTCTATTATACAATCTGTATGCGAACAAATATACATATATATCAGCAGTAAGAGAAATAAGTACAAAGTTTATGCAATAGTATAAGACAGTACCATAGACTACGTATAGATAAAGAGATTAATTGTATATCGCGAGAATTTTTCTATAGGAAAAAGAAAGTAGCGATGAAGGACACTATTTTCGTTGGTTAAACCGATAAGTAAACAGAGATATGCTAGGATGGAATAGATCTGGAAAATGTATAGTAATACAGCCATCTGCCTCTTCTTACTTTTTTTCTTTTTCTTTGTATATCTTACTGTACGGTCGCTGTTTGTACTGACTTTTTCTTCTCTCCCTGTTCCTCTCTCTCTCTCTGTATGTGTTAGTTAGGGACTTGTCAATATATCGTCGTCGTTGTCTAACCAAGCGTTCGTCGCCTGTCTGTATAACCGCAAACGGACATAATAATATTTGAAGCAACGATAGTGAGAAAGAACGAAGAAAGAACAAACAACATATCTACCCCCGTTTACATTAATATAATACGATGGCCACTCTTCGTCTTTTTACATTATTTGCTTTAACTGTCCTCTGTTCAACAGGTTTTGCACAAACAAAGCCATGTGAACCATGTGATCAAAGTAAATGTCCGTTGGTAATTCGAAAATATTTCTTTCTATTCTTTTTCAATGAATAAAAATTCTATATTATTTGTAGACCTTGGATAAAGAATGTCTTGCTGGATTAACACTCGACAGATGTGGTTGTTGTCAAGTTTGTGCACAACGCGAAGTTAGTAAATTATCTCTATAGAAAAAAAAAGACATTTGTTCATATTCATTTCATATGTAGAGTGAACTATGTAATCATCCAGATATCCCATCGAGTAAACAATATGAAGCATGTGGTGAAAATCTTCAATGCAAGTAAGCATTATGAAAATATAGTTTTCAAAAATTTTCATTTTTTGTATTTAGAATTCGAACGGATAGTCGTGGAGCACCACGAGAAGCTAGATGTGAATGTAATGATCAAGTAGAAATGTGTGGGTAAGTTGAAATAATAAAGTTTTACGATAAAATCTATAATATATATAAAGTTCGGATGGTAAAACTTATCGTAATTACTGTCATTTAATGGAATCGAGCAAACTTGCTAAAGCTGAACAAAAACCAATTATTAAAGTTTTCAAACGTAAACCATGTGATTCAGGTATATATAATTACTCAATAACTTATTTTCTTTTAATTATTTCAATTATTTTTCAGCACCTGAAATAACATTACCACCTGTTAGCGTTTCGAACAAAACAGAAACTAATGTATTTTTAACATGTGAAGCTGCTGGTGTTCCATTACCTGTTGTCGAATGGGTTTATACTTCTCAAACAGGCAAACAAATTGTCTATCCAAGTAAATATATATAATCAAATTTAATAAATATATGTATGCATATTGATTATTATTATGATAGCTGATGATGATCGTATATCAACATTAGTTCGTGGTGGACCAAATGCTCATGTTCTTACATCATGGCTTCAAATTCAATCTTTGAAACGACATGATCAAGGTACATATACATGTGTTGCAAGTAACGCATTGGGTAAAGTTGAAAAATCATGTACTGTTTCTGTTGAAAGTAAGTTAAATATATATTTTTTTATTCTTGCATAAAATTCATTTTATTATTTAGGTGGTCATGAACTTTAAATGCATACAATTATTATCTTAAATAATTCTTTTTTTTTAATTCTTAAAACAAAACAACCATTCATATCCATATCAACTGATCTGTTTGCAGTTTGTTAAAAGTCGTTTGTTTTCTCTATCTCTTTTTATCTTGTCATTCAATGTGTGCTTGAGTAGATGATTAGAATATTCATTAATTCTTTTCTTTCGTTTTTTTTGTTCATTTCTTTTCAACATATACAATTCATTTTCTTAGTTAAGTTTTATATTTTATTGATAAAAGAAAAAGTCTAATATAATTCAAAAAATAATTCTAATTTAATATCACAAATACATGAATATTAATGTTCCACATCAATTTGCTTTCTTACTGCTGACGTCGGTCGTGGACGATGAGCCTTATGTGATTTAGGTGGTGTCATTCCTTTATTTCGATATTCGACTAATTCTCTTGCATACTGTCGAATAGCACGTCGTTCTTCAGGACTACGTAATGTTTCAATCCAATAATCTTTACATGATCGAAGACAATTTGATAATGTATTTTCTGTAATACTTTCTCGTAAGATTGCTGCCAGAAAAGGAAATTTGAGATATTCATATTTAAATTCACCCAAACATTTTAATATACGCTACAAAAAGTAGAAGAAAAAACATATATATTTAAATGAATTTTATGAATATGAATAGACTTACAGTAATACGTAAATAATTATGTGATGCTGAGTTGAGATTACGAAAACATGATTTGTAAGAATCATCAGATAAACGGCGTATTTCGCCTGTATTTTCATCCACTAATTCAAAACCATAAAAATCAAGCCTACAAAAAAAAACAAATTTTCCTTTATGAATATAATTCATAGATAGTTTTACATGAGCTTATAAGATGTTAAAAGTCTTTCCAATGCCTTTTCATTTTTGCTAATTGACTCGATTTCATGCTTTTGCAATTGTTCAGAAGATATATTAAGATCACATTCTTGTAATGGAAACAACCATTGGATATAACCATGATGAAATTCTAACTTTCTATAATCACCCAACCAGTTCTTATGTATATTGTCAATGAGATCACCATCTGGATGAGAACGTATTTGATTTGTATAAAAATCATAATTATCATGTATTTTTGGATTTGATCGTGCATTTGGATAATGATTACGATATTCAGCTATATCTCGTTTAGAATAGGAATAATGACGTGAATCTTCATTTTCATCATCGGAATCGTCAAAATTAATACGAAGTTTAGATAAAGTAGCAGATGAACGTGTATGACGGCCAGATCCATCTCGATTAATATTATCGTCATCATCATCATCACTTATCATGTTTGATTTTTTTGATTTCTAGAGATATCCAATGATTATTTATGTCGAAAAAAACATAATTATCCTGTTACTTTTGACCATTGATTGTGAAAATCTTCATCACTATCTATTCTATCATAGCTAGACGGTTGTTGAAGTTGTGACTGACCAGTTTTTTGTATTGATTTCTTGTCTAAATGAATGAAATTAGTAACTAATAAACAATAGAGAAAAAATAATTTATTACTGGAGTCATTATCATCTGGATCGTTTCCTCTTGTTGTTCCGCAACCTGAAAAAATAAACATGAAGATTAAATTTTAAACAAGTATAATAAAATCTATAGAAAAGAGAAAACGTTTCTAAGATTAGTTTTAGTTCAAACTAAAGAAACTATTAAAAACGTTGGTAAATATGAATCAATTTAATCAAGTATACAAATATAATGAAAATTTTTAAGCAAGAAATTAGATGAACAAAGCAGTATCACAATACATACCCATTGGACTATTTTCTGATTCTAAATAATAAAAAGATTTCAATTTTTCTAGTTTATCAGAAACTTTAATATAAAATATCTAAAGTGATGAAACTCTAACGATGTATTTTTATTAATTATTTGATTTTTGTTAAAATAATTAACAAAGTTGCAGTTCAATTTTGTTTTTATCTATAATACTATTGTCATTGATTTAATTAATAAACAAATCAATAATATTCTCGATCTTTTTATCATCTTCGTCATCACTTTTCTTTATTTTGTATAATTTTTAACATAAATTCTTAGAAAATGGGAATTATTCTTGTAGAAATTATTTCTTAAAAACTTACTTTTTAATAAAATAACTGAAATATCATTAATAAACGATTGTGAATTTTGTTGAATAGACATATTTGATGGATTACTTAATTCTTGTGTAATTTTCATCAATTGATTTCTTAAATAGTTTAAATTAATTTCATTAAATTCATTTTCTTTATGAATTTGTTTTATTTGTTCACTTAAATTATTAAATTTCATTTCAATATCATCAATAAATGTTTTTGAAGATTTAATGACAATTTTTCTACATTCTTGTGCTTTTTGTTGAATTATTTCAATTGAATTTGTTTCCCATTGATTAATTTGTTTTATTAATGAATGACTTTGTGGATTTTGTTTTTGTTCATTTATTCTTTGTTTGAATTCATCATAATCATTAATGATATGATTTAATTCTTCATTTAATATTTGTTGATGTTCTGTTAAATGTATTAAACAAAATCTTTTTGAACATCCTTCACAAGCATATGTTATTTTTTCTTTATTGCATGTAAAACATAATGTTTTGTTGTTTGTCATTGCCATGTCTTTGAATAGAAGCTGATAAGAGAAATGAATTATTTACTTAACTACTTTTATAAATATAAACTTCATGACTCACCGCTAAAAAAGTATTGCTCGGTAGTAGGAGAAATTGAAAAAAATCATTTTTATGACAACAATTACTAACTGTGATAAAATTCCACTGATAAAAGTGATATACTATCTGAGAAAGTTGAAGTAAAACTAGAAATCGATTTGTTTCTAATTTCAAATAACAAACCAAACAAGTTTTGTGATATATAATCAATGAATGAATGTTTTAATGTAGATTGAAGGTGCGGATGTGAGTATGTTTGTTAGTAAGTTCTCATTGATTCACAGTCATGAATGGTTATTAGAATTGACTTAATCTCATTTAGATGAACATAGAACAGAAAGATGATTTCGAAAGCTCCGAATTAGTTGTACTGGTACCCATATTAGTATATCTTTTATATATGTAGCACTTTCTTCTCATTCTCAAAATTCTTTATATCATTATCGCCAGAATAGTCTAAGCGGTCTAATCTATCAATATCATCATTTAACTTTCGTAGAGTCTGTCCTTCTGTTTCTGAATTATCTGATCTATAATGGTTAGTTGAATTTATCGTTGCTGATTAACTAATGATAGATTAAAATACCAGTAATATCTAACATATAAGAAATGAAACAGTAATACTCTTTTCTTCAATGCCTTTGAAATATATCATCGAAAAAAACGTTGGTTAAATGTCCATTAACCACACCTAAATACGAAGGAAAGAAACACGAACAAATATAAATATGATATTTTTTCTCTTCTTGTTTTTTCCTCTTGAGAATAATCTTCATAAGCCATTCTTTTTTATTTCGTCATCATTACTGTGTAATGTAAAGTGGCTTTTGTGATGATTTGATATATCTGTTTTTTCCTATTCATGACAAAATTTCGACCAAGAAAGGTATAGAAAGAAAAACAATGTGCAACCATTGAATCATTATTTGTTCCATTCAATTTGATTGTCTTTCTGAAATAGATGTTTGGTAATAAGATAAAAAACAGTTAATTAAGTTAGGATATCCCACACGAGGATAAATCGAAGAAAAGATAGAAGAAAAAATCCAACAAAGGATTATAGGCCATATGACAGAAAAGAAACAGATTGTCAATATAGGTACAAAGTCGAGTGTGTAGAAGATATGACGATCTTTTTATAATAGAAAGCATTATCAGTTAAATGAGAAATATAAGAAAAGTTGAAACAGAGAGGAATGAAATCTTGAGGGTGTGGAGGTCAGTGTTTTATTAACTTACATCCACACCCATCCTCAAAAAACACAAAGTTCGACATTACATTTAGTACATTCGTATCTGACAATAGCTCTCTTTCTTGCTCTGCTTATTGTATTTATACTGACTACGCATTGTTTTCGAGGTTTTTTTCTTGTTGATAGTAATGTAATAGAAACATCGCATTTAACTGTTGAAAGAAGGAACGTGAATAAGAAAACAATACAAATAGTTATACTACAATGTGTTGAAAGTAATAAATCTAGTGTACACTGCCATTTCTACCATTAAAAGTCTTCTTAAAGATTTAGTTCCGACAGATACAGATTAAGCCAGAATCGAAACACACATATGTGTTTCCTGTGCCCAAGAGGTTGATTGTGATCCATTCGATGAAGTTTATTGAAATACTTCGAACAACTAACGTAAGATAAACTTAAACGCTTGATTCCGTTTCATCTAATAAAGATTAATCATCATAAAATCATTGAATTATAAGATTTGGAACATTGTAATATCAATTTATTTACAATATTTTCCTATAAACTATACGAAAGTCGATCAATGATATATTTAGTAAACAAAGAATAAATATCGATATGCAAATTTAGACAAAAAGAAAAAACTTCGTTTTATTTTTATTATCTATTTAATCGCAATTTTACTGTTTCAATAAAAACTCTCAATGAAATTGTTCGAACTTGGTAACTAGTTATATTGCTAAAGACTTAAAAGTTAATATCAGATAATCAAACATCTCTCAATCAATATTTTGCATGAATTAATGATATAATCATTGCACTCTGGATTATACAAAAGTGAAAAAAATCTTGGAAAGTTAATTGATAACTATAAGCTCAAAGCAAAGCAAAAACGAACCTAACTCGGTTCATAAAAACCCAGTTCGATTCGTTTTCTAGCTCAGAACACTATCTTAGTGCATCAGAATGTTAGTGCTAGTGATTTAAAATAATATGCAATGATATATTTTTAAATTATTATTTCAAGATGTTCCCATCAAAAAATTGTTATTGATGAAAGAATATTTTTTTACAATTTATTATGTAATATGCTGTTCTTCAAAGTCTTAATATATTATTTATGTTTTTATCAATATTAGCTAAAATGTCGTATTATTGATTAGCAATTGTTGATGTATATATTCTATTACAATCAACGATTCATTCACATGCAGCACAAACGCTATCCATATTTCAATTCGGATTCCAATTCGACACATGCAAATATCTTATTTCTCTCTTACTGTAATACCTTGTACAAAATTATAAGATCTCGAAGATAAAACAAATCCCATTCTTCACCTGGCACATACATTTCGAAAGTTCATTCGAGCTGCTCTTTAAATAATATCTATTAACAAACACAAATGGCGACAATCTGTTTCCTTGATGTATCTTTTTATTTTGAGGTATAACACAAGAATGTTTATGCGTATAAGTGGTTGTCATCATAAAAAAATTTGAGGATCAATCCATTTCGAGTTGTTTGTTGAAGGTGCTTTTTTTCAGTTACGTCCGATACAATTCCTTCAGACGTCGAGTATAGTGAGTGCCTGTATGAAATAAGACAGGTAAATATGATCGAGATGCAGAGAGATTTTTTTCACAATAAATATGTATAGACGATATGTACTCAAATAAGAACAGAGATCAATCAATTGCAGATCAAAATACAGACAATAATCAAAGTAATACTATTCCTGGTGATGAGAAACCAATAGAACAAGAAGAATCTGTTGAAACCGAAGGTTTGTATTTCATTATATATAATTATTTTTAAGTTTCATCCTATATTTAGCATTAAAAAATAGTCAAATGGGTATGTATTGTGATGCTTCTTTGTTTATCTAATTTCTTGCCTAAAAATTTTAACTATATTTTTCTACTCATTGTAAAGATTTTATCATACTTGTTTAAAATTTAATCTTCATGTTTGTTTTTAGGTTGCGGATCAACAAAAGAAAACGATGCAAATGATAATGACTCTAGTAATAAATTATTTTTCACTATTGTTTATTAGTTATTAATTTCATTCATTTAGACAAAAAATCAATACAAAAAATTGGTCAGTCACAACTTCAACAACCGTCTAGCAATGACAGAATGGATAGTGATGAAGATTGTCACAATAAAGCATCAAAAGTAACAGGATAGTTATGTTTTCTTCGACATAAATAATCATTGGATATCTCTAGAAATCAAAAAAATCAAACATGATAAGTGATGATGATGATGACGATAATAATAATCAACGTCGATTTGGTCCTCTTACACGTTCATCTGCTACTTTATCTAAACTTCGTATTA